GTCGAGGCTTGACAGAACGCTCGACGTAGTTCTCGAGGAAAGCTTGGCATGTGCTTTCCGCCTCTCTCAACTGGCGGCACAGGTCGAGTATAACCTGGTTCGGGTCTTTGCACGCGTTCCGCGATACGTAACTACGAATGAAGGGCCACTGTTAGTTAACCTTTTCGTCCTCCAAGTCACAGAATAATGCAGTGCACACTAAGAGAACCTACCCTTTCCACGCTTCCCAGACGGATATCTGTGCTTCCTTGGTTTTCTTAGCAGGTTCTCGGAGGTCGGGCAGCTGCTCCTGCATGAAACCTTCCATTTTCTCTTGGAAACGCCTCTGCTCAGATTCCGGGTCGTCTGGCAAAATCTCGTACTCTTCGGTCTTTTCTGTTGAAAATTCTTGGACAAGGTTGCTCAGGGGTTCGTCGTAAAAGTCCATGGCCCAGCCAGCCTCTGCATCGTATCCGTAGAAGCACTCTGCTTCGTTGCTATTCACCGAGTCAAGCATCTCGCCGTGCTGAGTGATGCAAGCCATGATCCTGATGGGTTATCTTGGCTTTGCGTAAGGGACAGATGGTAACGTCTAGATTCAGGGAATGGCGGGTGGGCAGAAGAGCGGGCGGCGTCTGGCATTTAAGAGGTCATCCGCTTATAGCGCGAATGGGACTCTTTTCTGTTTACCATGCCGGCACTCCATGGCACAGCACTGTCCCAACGGGGGAAAGGACATGCCGGGCGGTTAGATGGGGTGGGTGTGGCACATCGTGCAGGCAAGTCGAACGATACAAGAAACGACATTCTGCTCAAGGGAAAGGAGATCCCGCCGAGAACAGGGGAGGTGTGAGAGGAAGAGAAAGGCGACGAAGAGCAAGGGGAGAAAAGAGAGGGGGGTGGCGGCGTGGTGTCGAGAGAGGGCAGGAAGTTGCGGTCGTTTTTGTAAAAAGAGAACGAGCAAACGGTCGGCGCCATACGGCCGTCCGGCCGGCCGATCGAAACGGCCAACGGCTTAGTCAGCAGGGGATCCCGCTCTTCTAGACAAGCCTCCCCTCACTGGCTTATCTATGGGAGAGCGGACGGGATCCCGAGTTCTCCAGTGGGTATGGTCGTATGTGCCAGAAAACTGGCTTAGAGTTGATTATATAGCGAATCCGCAAGACATAGCGCAGTGATTCTTCCATTATCCTGAAACCACCACACTCGCAGGAAAGCTGCACAATGACGTCTTGTCTAAAATAGCACCGGCTATTGAAACGAAAAGTATATCTGCAAGCTTTGAAGAGATGAACACAGCTGCCTCGGCCTGCGAAAGTGTGTTGGAGAATTCAAGGCACAACTCGAGCCGGGCAGGACTCGGCTTACACACCTCCCACTCGATACGACTTTCCTTCTTTGTTTACTCATTATATAACTAGAAGAGCGAAACTGAATGAAAGGGCTTGCCGATCTCTAGCCAGTAATTTTGTACTTGACCTACCTATTGATAATGGGACAAGTCGGGCATAATGCCAACAACGTGATCCCCAAGGTTATCCCAGCAAACACGCTATGTATACTTAGAATTTACCCTCATGCTAAATGCTACGTTGGTCATAAGAGAGAGAGAAACAAGATAGACACACACAAAAGAGACCTGCGGGTCAGCGCTAGCACGACGACGTGGTTCAACGCCGAGGTGGATGAAAGTTATTGAACAAAGCCAGGATGGTTCCTCCGCCGCCACACGGGACAACGTTGACGAGTAACAGTTCTTCTTTCCTCAGCCCGGTGGCCTGCTTCGCCCAGTTGCGTTTGCGGGTAACCGAGCCGAGGTCGGTGGTTGCTCACTCACCGGCGGCCCGTCTCCGTGGCACGGTCAAGGCCGCGTAGCTGTCTTTGAGTGTCCATGTCCAACTCTATGAGACTCTTGACTCTGAGGCTGAGCTGGGCAATTCCAGATAACATGAAGGGGTACAAAGGGGGGAGATGGAATCCGGCAATGCAAGTAATTACCTTCGAGAGGAAGTCGGCATAAATGGCAAGCGTTATATCGATGAATGTGCAGGGAACGCGTGACAACGGTCCAGGTGTCATCTACTCCCTTTCCTTCTACATACACGCCTTCAACAGATTCACAATAAGTGACAGGTGTGAAGAAAATCCACGACAGTTGCCTTTGAGTTTATCGACCTTATGTTTGCAGTCCACGTTGCTAGGGCTAAGTTGAAGGGAGTCCCGGGTCCAACTAGTCCCGGCTAGAAGTAGATCGAGAGACTCCCCCAAGAAGCAGTCTTGGCTTCGGCCCAGATTTGACATTACCCATCGACACTGCGAGAATAATCCGACAATCCCCCGGCTCACAAGCATAGTGGAAAGGCAATCTGACCTCAGTAACCTATCGACGATTGTGTTGCCGAGTATATGTCACCGAGAATAAGCTAATAGAAAGACACTTAATCAAATCGATCGATCGCTTATCGTATTAAACTGTTCAGGAGTGCTGGTCAATAGTCTATGTGTACTTTTCACCGCGGTCTGCCTACCTTGGGACCCGGATCCCTTCACTTTTACGTAAATATTCAGACCTTCGTCTTTGAACGGGCGTATGTGTCCTGTGGCAGCCGAATACTAGTAAAAAATGCACTGCTGTTTTAGTCGCCAGTCACTCAAGCCACAACCATTCGTGTTTATTAGAATCTAAGCCTGCAAACTTTTTGTTATAACACGGCCAAGGTATATATTCTTGTCACAGTATTGCAGCGTCATATATTAAAGTAATGGGAACTTTGGTACTTCAGTGAAATTGGAAGACAACAGTAATATATATACTCGCCTTCGTAAACCTAATGGTAAACATGTATTCCATAATAAGCTGCTAAAAGCCGTTGCCTTGCATACAGACATTATGGCTTTTATTGAAGCTGCGATCACATCATGTGCCTTTTGAACTAAGACCTTCTGGCCGGTGTTAACGGACCGTGAGAGTACGGTGTTGCTGTTGCGGCTGCTGCTGTTGAACTTTACCGTTACCGGTTTTGAAGACCCGGCATCGAATATTCTGCCCGTGTATATCAGCCGGAAAGACGCAAGTGTTTACTCCATTTCTGACAGCTGCACAGGAAAGCCTTTTTATCATCTGACAATGGTAAAAATACTAAACTAGACTCTGGGTGACAGTCACTCTCTCATGAATGTGGCGGCGAAAAGAGAGCATCTTATCAACAGACCTCTAACCTTTGGACGGGCTTAGTTGAAGGCTTAATTTTGAGATCCCCTATTGCAACACTAGGTAGATACCTTTCATTATGCTTTTAGTTCTACTTGGTTTGCCATAATATGCCGACAGTCGCCTCACGCGTCCTTAAGCCTACCTTGCAATCGAATTTGCTCCAAAAGGTTCGATCTCACTTTGTCTTGCAACAGGCTCACTCGAAATTTCGTACCTCGCATTCCCAGTAACAGGCTCGTCCAACAGTTCGTATCTTGCATTCCCGGAGCCATCTGCTTCAGAACGCTGCTGGTTATGATAGGGCATCTCATGCTTCGACTCGAATATGACGGCGTCTCTTACTACTGGAGTTGTTTCGGGATATTCCGCGACTGTCTTTTTCTTCAGCAGACGACTCCAGGCGATCCATCCCACAATACAAACGACAATCAACGTTCCCAAGGCGGCGCCGACTGCAATACCAGCTACTTTAGCGCTTGAAAACCCTGTTCCTTTACTTCTTGAGTCAGGTGAAAGATCAAGGGTAGTCGTCGATGTTGGTGCTGCTGAAGCTGAAGTATTGGTGATATTAAAGTAGTGACATGCAGTAGCCGCCGCCTTTGTAACGCCATGTTCATACATTTGAATAAAGTACACAGGAGTCAAGGTACTGTCAAAACCTGAGGAGAAGCCTTGGTAGCTCACTTCCCAGACCATAGTTGTTTGAGTTCTGTTTACTATAAGAAGGTTCTAACATAAGCTTAAGACTTGATTCATATGACTAGGCGTACTGACAAGTGATGGTGGCTGAAGTCTGCTTTCCGATGTTGAAGGCATCATTCCATAGGATCAAATCAACCGCAGCAAAGTCCGTTTCCCATTGTAGATCAAGTTGTTGACCAAGCTTATAAGTGGGGTTATCTCGATAATCGCTTTGTGGACCACGACCGGGTGGTCGGAGAAATAAGTTTTCAGAAAGGGTGCCGCGAACCGCTAAGAGATTAAGGCATCCCATTCGGAAGAAACGCATTGTTACCGCGCTAGTGAATTAGATGCTCTTGAGAAAAGCCGCCGACTAAATTTTGATAGTGTTGTGACGAAGCACGAAAGGCAGAAAAAGGTACGAAAATGAACAACAGAATACAGTAGGCCGAAGGGATTGATATGTAAGCTTGGCTTAGACTTTAAGGGAAGAACGCGGAACCGACGGATATATTGAGCCTCTATCGGTCTGGGATTAATTTCTTTCGATACAGTTTTGGACCCAGACTCATGCATTTTCGTCCATCGGGGGTTATGTCCGTCCTACCAGCTTATCTTGAGAACCTGGGTATTGTCAATCCCGGTAAACTTGGTGTCGAGCCCCGGTACTAACGGGCTGCACAATCGGCAAGATATCCGGTTTGCGCAATGTAGCTTGACTTGGCATCAAGCGAAGTGCCCCGCCGGAATTGCGGATGCGGCTCAGCTTACACACTCAGTATGATTGCTTACATGTTGGATGCTGCCTTGTTCACCGACTGGACCCCATGCCCCATCCTCCCCCGGCACGTATGGGGCGCTCATTTGAGAAGTAGGCCCGCGGCAACATACCCCTCTGTCATCTCTAATCTGCGAAGTACTTTTGTTCTAAGCCAATGAGGTGTGGAGGTATCTCCGCGTGATGTGGCTCACAAAACCGGGTTGCTCAGTCAAGTCGTAAAATTGGGATTCCTGACCTGAATCGCCTTAGACACCGAGCTAAATATTCAATCACCAAAAGTACCGTACTTGTCAAGCGCCACCAGCTGTAAATCTTAGTACCACCATCGTCTCAGCCTCTGTAGCTATGGAGATCCCAGCCAACATCAACGAGTTCGATATGACTCTGGTCACCAAGAAGACTTACGCTACGGAGGACGTCTGGAGTTCCCACCGCTCGATGATAACCAGACTGTATCGAGATGAGGGGAAGTCTTTGAGGCAAATTAAACAAATCATGGAACGCGACCATAGCCTCTACGCTACGTAAGTCTCGCCTGTTAACACTAAGTAGATGTTTGGTGGCTGACGACATGAACAGCGAGAGAATGTTTAAGACTCGAATTAAGAGATGGGGAATCGACAAGAAGTTTAAGGAAGCTGAGGTCTTACGCATGCTTCAGCTCAGTCAGGAACGTAAAGCGATAGGGAAGAAATCAGAATTCTTTATTCGCAACCAGCGAATTGATTCTGAAAAGTTGACGCGCTATCTAAACCGGCGCCCCGACTTGCGTAATAAACTCTACTTCCACTCCTCACAACAACAACCAATGGAAGCGCACATGGACATCATCTGCCGAACACCCTCACCAGCCCTTGACACGTCTCCTCTTCTGATAGGATCTCCTGAGGTACGGCTTCCTGAAGAAATGTTACGAATCTTCAGGGGCTACTTCGAGGGGGGACTCGGAAGCGGGGGGACCATCAAAGAAGATGAAATACACGGTTTCGACGGAGAATTTCGTCAGCTGCGTATTGTGAAGTTACGTACCGATATGGATAACGCAATAACACTACTATGGGCAAACAAGTTCGAGGCTGCATTCCGCGCTCTAAACGACAGCCTTGACTCCTTGGAACAATCAATTCAAGACCAAGATCCGCTCTTGTTTTACATCTTGTCCTACCGCACCTTACAGCTAAGAGGCAAAGTAGCTGATTCAGTCATCATCTTTATTTACAAAATGCATACAACAGTTTTAGGACATCAACACCCCCTCACTCTTGTGTGGGGCAGATTTAGATGTCTTTCACCAGAGCTTCGTACAAGGGTTCTCGGTATAATGGCTGCTAGTTGCGTCCAGCTTCTTGGAGGCCAACTAGGAATCTTGAACCGGGTGGTGGCATTGGCTCTTGGCTCAACATCAAATGTTCTTTCCAGCCCAGGTGGGGCAGACGGGAACCATTTTCATAAGCTTCTGTCTACATATACTTCAGCTGCTGAAACATACTTCACAAACGGAGACCACCAAAGTTCTTGTGAATGTCTTTTGGTGATAGCTGGAGCCCAGTTGTGGGGACAGCAGTATAACCAAGCGAAAGACACATTAGCCCAGGCGTTCTCTCTTCTTCAAAGCAGTAACAAAGGTCCTGGGAGTCCGTGGCTTCAATTAGAGCTCTCGTACTACGAAGTCATGGCTCGTCTTTTCTACCAGACTGGCCTAATTGACCAGGCCTTTGAATATGGGTGTAAAGCATACAACCATGCAGAGGAGCATTTTCAGTCAAAGAAGGCACAATCACTGAGGGCCATTCGAAACCTCATCGATCTTTGCCGTCAGACTGGACGTGGGAGGGAAGCAGACGAATGGTGCGACACTCTGCTTGCAAAGATGTCAAACAATGGGGAGATGTGAAGTAGAAGTTTCAGGTAATTAGCGACTAACAGATGAGGGGTTAAATTGAGTACATTGATGAGCTCGATGAGTAATTTTGGACGTATTCTTCTATCCATATAGTGAATAGATGATTCCCTATCTAGTGATAACGTCAGCAGGCATGGTCATGCCTTTGTGAAATCACATACTTGATATGTGTCGTGAAGCATGGCCGCTTCAGTGTGGCGTCTGTGGCTGTTGTGACTACAGGCACCTCCCCATCTCATTGGCCTAGAACAAAAAGACTTCGCAGGTTAGAGGTGATGGGGGGGTGGGTGGTCGAATGGGCATTTTGGGCATGTTCACAACACTGCCCCTTGCTCGTGTCCCCCTTGTTTCTGTATTTGGCGGATATCTGGACGGTGGTGTGGGACTTGATCCTGATCAATCCATGGACTCAACGACAAGGGCGAATAGGTGGAATTGGTATCACCCGATCACATTGCTCAGATTCTAGAATCACTTAGTGTGCTGGAAAAGTGACTGAACATGTCAAGACCCTCTATCCAGAGATAACGAAAGCAGGCCGAAACATGCTTTTGTATAAGTATATGTTGGGTAGGCAAATTCCAACTTGTTGTAATGATAGTTTGTTATTGCTGTACCAGCCTATCGTGCTATGTTAGGCCTGGCACTATAAATGGGACTAACCTATATCACCCTGCAAGTTGCAGTATCCGACATTCGCCCAGACTCTGTCCCACTTTCGCCTGGGCTGGGCTGCCGCATTGCCTCCTTCGACGCTTATAAGCCGCGATCACAAAAAGTTACCGAGACGACATCCAAAACCTCTTTTAGAAACAACTCTGAATACCGTGTGATGTTTATGGGCTAAAAATAGTGACAAGTATAGCACCGCGCCCGCACAAGCTCTAGAGTTGGGGTCCAAGGATTGTGATCCTAGTCGATAGACACCGTGAAGCGAATACGGGAGGGCCTCATTGGATAAGTATATGCCGTTTGACCCGTTTTTTGAAGCTTTCACTCACCACAATATATCTTGTTTCAACAAGGCGACCTATCAAGTGCTCAACATAAGATGTACGGGTGGCAACGCAATCAGCTTGGCCCCAAATCTCATGACCTCCTTCACCTAAGAGGTAGATAATGCTCAGCGTGTCTGAGCCCGCGTAAATAAGCAATAGCCTGATCAGGAAGACTGTTCGTCAAATTATAATAAGTGTGAGGTTTCACGCAGTCCTACGGGTAATTCAGTACCAAGCCCATAGATTTGATTTTCACAAGAACTAGTGACTAGATCATCAGGCACTGAAGATGGACTCGATTGATCAGGGCGATATAGTTGATTACGGCAGTCCCGTTGGGCTGACCCGCACCGCAGACTTCGTCAACGAACCCATAACATCTTTACCGCCGTCGACAACTTCAACCCGAACTCAGCCTTTTTCTTACGATGAAGAAACCTTTCATATAACCTTGACTGGCTCTACAACCCTTCACAAAGCTGGTAATCCATGTCCTACGAATGTTTTCATTTGTGCCTCAACCGATCAGGAGAGCGCAACATCTACAGCACTACCATCACCCGTCGCATCCACCAGACCGACTGTACCTTCGGCATTTGCTCAGATGGTCCACGGCTCGAACCCAGTCCTCTATGGTGTACCCAAAGAGCAACTGCTATCGACATCATTCGACGATATCTGCCCGTCAGGTAACTGTATTAGCGACTGCAGTAACATAAGCAGGGTGTTCCAGGCAGTTCCTGATGGAATCAACGCCAACCCTCAGCAGTATGGTCGCCTCGATTCAAACAAGAAGTCAGAAGTGACGCTCTTCGGCACCTGCAGCAACTTGGACTACGCAGCGAGCCTTGACAAGACTGGCCCTTTCGCAGCTCGCTTTCAAGTCGAAAACTCAGAAGAACTATCCACAATTGCGTCGAGGATCACGACCTGCTTTGCAACGACTTGTGAGCAAACACGAAACCCAGCTCTTTGTGCAACGGCCTGCTCTGCTTCCAACCTTCTCTCTTCTGCTACAGTATTTGATTACAGTCAGGGACTTCCTGATTGCGTGATAAAGCTTTGCGATAACACCTGTTCATTGCCGTATGTAGACCCGGATGTCCTAGGCATTGGTGTATGTTCGTTTTTATTATGCACTACTTTAATCCTTTTAGAGCCACTGTTGCTTACTGACCTTTAGGTCCTTATCTCATACTTCATTCAAGCTGTGCTCTTGATCATTTGCGGTGCGGCTTTCCTGGTATCAACCGGGGTTCAGCTCTGGAAAGAGCCAGAGACTGAGCCAAAGGCTAGAGAACTTGTAAAGAGTCCCTTAGAGACCTTTCTTCGAGTCCAAACGCTCTTTGGAAGTAAGTACAAAACTATGCATCAATACCTGCCTTGTGCCTCTCTTAATAACTCTAACTGGTACTTGTAGTCTCTGTAGCCGTTGCCACATTTATTATGAGGCCTTCTGAAATTGACCCCTTGAATGGATACGCCTTAATCCTGACTTCTGTTATGGGGTTCGTTGCGCCTGTGTTTACACTAATGCTACTTCATAGCCACGGAATTCAATCTCGCTTTTCAACAGCTCTAGTCGTTATTAGTTACTCAGTTAACACGGCCACGTTTTACCTTCTTGTTCGCAATCTTTCTACCCGCCCATACGATAGGAAATACCTCGACAAAGCGATCAATAGCCTCTTTAGTACAGAAGCCTGTGGTGGCAGATCAGCCATATCACTGTGTTATCAGTTAACTGGGACGGATCCCGTAGGCTTCCTAGCTAGTTTCTACGACGCCAAGTCCTTCGCCAACATCAAGACAGTGCCATTGTTATGGGTCTGGGCCACGCTTGTGTTGCTCCTACTGATCACTCGACAGGACGCTGCTTCAAAAGAGAGCAGTAGTAAGGAGATGAGCGAGTTACCTTCAGCAAAGCCCACAAGCCGACGAAGTCACCAAGCACTGTATGAGTCCTTCAAGCTCCTGAAAACCCCTCTCTCCACTTTTGTAACACTGTTGTTTGCCACAATCGTGTTCTGCTTGTGCCTTGGATATCAGTACCTTATGGTCCGGGCGAATGCTCTCATGGATGTGGTGGACAGGAACGGATGGTCCTTTGGACAAGTTGTAGCTCTCTTATTCTGGGTACCACCACTCATCGATGTTGTTAGGTCGATGTATGAAAGGAAGAAGTACGAGAAGGTTGAACAAGCGTAGCCGATAAAACCCTTTATTGCATAGTCAGCGGTTAAGCTTGTAATTTGTAAGGCTGACCAGCCAAACATGGTCTGTTAATCTTGAAGGCATGTGAGTGCACGGTGATCAGTTGTGGACTCGTAATTAGTGGAGGTGACTCCCATAGGCTCACAGCAGAAGGATGCCTAAGAGTCAAGTTGCGGGAGAGTGAATCACGAAGCTGATTGCCCAAGTGCGACGCAAGCGAACCCTAACAAGGATGACAGTCCAAAAGAATAGTGTATCCTCCAGTAAGTGATCGCTGATGCAAAACAACCGCCTGTTAGCCGTAGATATCCTGCTTCAATGAGCGCAACACGGCCACCTGCGGAAAGAAATCGCCCATTAGGTCCGCTCAGCGAACAGGGCAGCATCCAATATGTAGGCGATCATATTGAGCTGAGCCGTATCCACGATTCTAACAGGGCAATTCGCTTGACGCTAAGTCCGGTTGTATCACACAAACGGGATGTCTCCGCGTTTTGAGGGCTCTAGGCCCTCGTTGGTAGAAATGTTGAAAGCAAAAGGCTAAGCAGACAAAACGGTCATCATGTCCTTCAACCACGCGCAATTAGATACAACCAACGGGCCCATCTACCTACCTCAGGACTTGAGCTAATCCACTCATGCGTAAACTTCCAGACCTAACTCCTTGACCCAGTTGTGAACACTGGAAAACCCCCACTTTCATAGTATCTACTAGGTATTCTGTCCAACATTGGCACGGGCGAACGAACTCGGCGGGCCCAAATTTGGCCATGTTCATCCGATACCAATATGTCCTATTCATCTCATGCTACTCTGGTCTAGGAAACACAAGACGATCGCAACTGCGAGCGATAGGCAGGAAGGCAGGCGTGGACAAGAAAACGTGGTTATGAGGCAAGACACGCAGATCGGATTCCCTGCGCTCTTGTTATCCTACCCTATTCGAATATGCATGCGTCCAGAACGAGAGCCTACGACCGGCCCACGAAGACCCAGACAGCAGCATCGCCTTCGGACCCACTGTTACAAAAGTACGTGACCGCAAAGAAGCAACGGGCACATCCCTACCGAGACAAGATTCGTACTTGAAGGGCCGACATGCAAATGTCATTCAGTCCGCCCAAACATCACAATATTGAAAGCGTAAGCACGTCTTTTTAACAGTCAAGGTGAATCTGCATGCAGCTATCTAACCCTGCCCGCCTGCCGGCCGCCCCAGTCCCAAAGCAAAAAACCCCGTCCATCAGTGTTCCTCCGTCCTGTTGATTGGAACCTGCACACGCCTGATGTGTGCTCGTGTAAGTTAAATCGATGCCTGGTGAGATTGAGGGTGGGTTGTGTATGCAGTTTTGAGGGTGTTGTAATACATGAACACTCGAGAGAGGCAAGAGGGTATTTCCTCCACTCGAGAAGAAAGCTCGCTTCCAATTACGCCAGGTAGCCAAGCTCGTCGTCCTCGAGTCTCTCCAAATACTCCTTGTCGAGGAGGATCTCTATGCACTTCTTGATGTCCGAAACCTTCGGCACGAAGCGCGACCGAATCTGGTTGATGGTCTCGCTGACGAGCTGCGTGTGCTTCATCTTCTTTCTCGCCTTCATGATACGCACGATGGCAGACTATTGTCTTGTTAGCAAAGTGTGACGGTGTGGTTTGGTACAAAATGACATACCTGCAGCAGAAGCTTGCGGTCCTCCTCGATCGTCTTGTTGGTCTCCACCTCTTCCTGCTTCGCCTCCTTGGCACCGCCAATGTTCAGGTTGACCCTGATCTTTTTGCTCTTGAAGTCGTAGTTGAGTCGGAAGCTCTTCCCGGGCTCGGGCTTACCATCGGGCGACATAATGAGAACCTTGGCCTTGAGCAAGATGGCCAAGGCCTGGTCCAGAACCTCCGAGCTCAGCAAGGTCACGCCCGCGATGTCCTCGTAGCTGTGCTTGTCCTTGTCGTTGAACATGAGGAGGATGGCCATCTGGTAGGCAGATACCTGGAATGTGTAGGGCGTCTTGCTGTTCTTGCAGTATCCCGCCTTGACCTCACCCTTGCACAGTTGCCACAACCATGTCAACTTGCGACCTTCGTGCCTGTTCTTGTAAAACCGGGTAAAGCGCTCGCAGTCTTCGTTGATCTCGGTCGGAGGGGTGAAGCTTGTGTTGGGCGCAGTCAGGGGCCAGAAACCGGTGCCCAGGATGGAGTACTGAGAGTCGAGAGCGTTCTTGTTGATCCCAAGACCAGCAACATGCTCCTTGAAACTGACGTTGAGATCCTTGGAGGTCTGCATGTCCTGGAACATTCTCTGGAGCTTGTTCGTGTACTCGAAACCGCACGCCTCCTTGAGCTTACTGATCATGCTGGTCTCCGCGTCGTCCGACGAAGAGTTACTGTGCACCAGGCGACGGGCAAGCATACGGGAGTAGAACTTCTGGAAGACGTCCTTGTCCTCAATGTACTTGAAGACGGTCATGATCTGCGTCAATGTGTTCTCCAGTTCGCCCTCCTCGATGCCGCTGCCGCTCTTCCTCAAAAGGACGTCGGTGTATTTGGCCAGAAGCTCCGGCGACTTGTTGGAGCCTGACTTGCAGACCTCGTTCCTGTTGATGAACTCTCGGCAGGCGTTGTCCAAGGATCGGGTGAATTCGGCCTCGCCATCGAACGCACGAGTCACCAAGCCCGAGTACTGAGAGTGGATTTCCAACAGCGCATCGACGTAGACCTTTGGCTCCAGCTTCTCGGCGTCCGACGCCACCTTCTCCACGGCGCTCAAGCCCGCCTTGCGGACGTGGGTCTCGAATCGCTGTCTCAGAGGATCCAGGCCCTCGGGGATTCGAGAGAGCAGCTTGTACATCCTGGCCATATCCTCTTCTCTGTCGTTGTCCAGAAGCACTTGGAACTCATCTCTGAGCAATGTCGAATGGTCGGCAATGAGGGCTTGGTTGCACGTCTTGCGCAGCGGGTTGATGATATCAGCGTGCAGGTACATGCGCACTCGCTCCTCCTCTTCCTCCAGTCGCGTCTCTGCCTTCTTCATGTATTCGACGACGCTGTTCTCGGCAACAAACTGCTTCGACTCGTTTTGGTAGTACTCCTTGGTGGCGGCCAGGAAGGGGCGCTCGAAGTGGAATCGGTAGACGTCGAGGGTCGACTTGGTAGGATCGGCGTCGTCGAGACCGAGGGAGACAAAGGAGTCGACAACCTGCTTGATCTGGCCGTATTCAATGGTCTCGCCATTACGCTGCTTCTCCACCAACTTCAGGACGGCTTCCATAACCTTGGTCGAAACCTGTTCGAAAAGCACCCGACGCCATTGCACAAGATGGAGAGTGTACACGTCGTAGATGTTCTTCTTTCCCTCGTCCATCTCGCGCTTAACCCAATGGCGGTTAAGATACCGGAAGAGGTGATGGATGTATTTGGCGGCGATCGTGTATCGGTTCCATTCTTTGATATAGAAGGTCAGCAGCGCCTCATCGGTGTGCGTCTTGGACTGTTGAACGAGCCCCTCGAGGTGCAGCTTCAAATAGTCGATGAGCTTGTTGTACAGCTCCTCTCCGAGAAGGTGAGCTATCCACAGAGATCAGCATGTCGACCATACACGACGGTAGAAGGGGTTGTGCCCGGCTCACCTCCCCTGTGGTTACCGGATCCGATGCTTCCCTGAGGCACCGACAATCCGACGGCTTTTTGGGAGGTACAGAAGTTGTGGACGGCACTAGAAACACTGTTAGAAGGTGTTGGCAGCGGTCGGTCGGCAAAGCATACGTATAGACTCCCATGTACTGCAGCAAGCAACGGTCAGCACTTCTCATCGGATCAGGAGAGGTAGGAGGGGAGGCGGCGCAGGGCAGTGAGACTTACGATCTGCATGTCGATACCACGCTCAAGATCCAGCATGATGCGCTGGATGCCGGCCTCCAGGTACTTCCATCTGTATTCGGTCAGCGCGGGGTGTCGGCCAACGGCGGTGCCGTCGCGAGGCTGCGGAGATCCACTCACGTGGCTCCAATGTCCTCCCGGTTAGGGACCGGAGGCATCTGAGTAGCGGGCGCCATCTTGGCTGCTGACATGATCCGAGGATCTCGAGTCGATTGCGCGGTCGGCAGAGGGGATCGGTGAGGCCGTCGTGGCCGTCGTGGTGGTGGGGGGGGGGAGATAGGATGTCGGTTCGGGGGGGCGACTTGTCGTGGGGAAGCGGGGAGGACCTGTTGCGAAAGATGACGGGTTTAGAAACGTCGCCTCCAGAAGGGGGAAGGAGTAATGGTATTTGAGTCTTCGGCCCTGCCCTGCTTATGGCCAGAAGGATAGAGAGTCAAGACGTTGAGGGGGATAAAGGGATGTGTCTGCGGCACAGACCTCGACGGCTCCAGAAATCGACGTCGAAGTGCGAAAGGTGGAAAGGCAAGGCCGTGGTCGCAAGGGTTGGAAGGAGGGAGAGGCTGCCTTACGGGGGTAGGTACCGTACCTTACAACCGGGGAAGAGAAGGAACGCGGCACCCTTTGTCTGAGTCAGAGCGGAAGGTGAGGGAAGTCGTCAAATGGCGCCGGGCAGAGGAAAGCAAACGAAGACGACTTTGTAGTCTAGACGCAGAGCCGAGGACGCGATCAGGCAGACACGAGGAGGACAGAGGTTGTAAGTGGAAAGAGGGATTGCTTGGGTTAGATTTGCTTGCCGGGCGAGGGTGCTGCAGCAGTGTGAGGTGTGTATGGAGGCGTCCGGTGGTGGAGGTCTGAAGAAGGCCAGCCCGGTCCACCCACGGTAGCGACACCACCACGCTTTGCTGTATGTACCAGACCGCTGACGCCTACGGGCCACCTTCAACCTGGAACTCAGTCACAGCGTGAGTGGTGGAGCCTCTACGTCGTGTGGTGTCTGAACCATGGCTGGGCTGGGGCCTGGGTGCCTGGGACTGGGACTAGGACTGGGACTGGACTGGCCACCAGGAAGAAAGTGGAGCAATCGCCTGGAACTGTCTAGCGCCAGAAACTGCCATTCTTCACCGCCCGCCACCTCCATCTTGGGCAATCTGCAAAAGGAAAGGCGTGCTTCGTCGTCTTGTGCTTAATTGCGGCTTGGGCCGGGGGTGGACGACTTGCAAGGTCGGCATCCGGGTTAATCAGCCTTATGCTACCTTGTCCTGTTTGGGTCTCCTTCTCTCTTTCCTACCTCGTTCTTCAGACAGTTTCGTACGATTTCATCCCACTTGACGCCGTCGACGAGTGCGATGACAAGAGACTATCGCCTCTCGGCGTGCTTCTTAAAGCCATTTCCCATCTGCTCGAGAGAATATTCGACCTGGCTGCTTTACCATCAAGCAGCACACGATGACAAAGCCAATTTGACTTGCTTGTGTTACGTACAGAGCATTTATTGCTTGCTGACTATTGCCTGCCTTCTTACTCAGCCCGTCTGAAGTATAGCAACATTTACACCCCCCCCTTAGTTCCCTGACAACGTTGTCCTTGTCTCGCGGGCTTCGGTCAATGCCATGCCCACAGGAGTTCAAAAAGGAACCTATCCCACTTGCCTTGAGAACCTTCACGTTGTTTGCCATAAGGGTAAGTTAATAACTTAAAGGGCTCCTCCTCAAGGGACTGCCGAAAAAAGAAAATAAAAAACTGCCTATTGAGAGGCTTCATATGATGTCAGTGAAATAAATGGCTGTAAGGATTCAAAGCGCAAGCCGACGTTGTGCAACTGGGAACAGCAGGATGTGACCACGGAGCCAGAAAGTATTCATAATTGACAAAGAAGAAACAACCGCAACGACCGATCCACGCTCCAGCTATAGTACAGGCTTTTAATACACCGGGTATACCCAACAAACAAGACCGAGACGGGCTCCCAAACTACATGCGATCGTGAGAGATTTCATCCTCTCCACCTCCAAGTCGTTGAACCGTGCGGAAGATGTTGACCATGAAGTTCATGGTCCACGCCAGTAGACCAGCCAGCATGAAAGCCGCCAACGCCTGGCTGAGCTGCCTCACCTGGCCTGCCTCGACGTTGTGGAAAACTAGGGACTCGAACGCCAGGGATGTGCTGGCGGATTTGAAAATAATGAAAAAGAGGTCCAGCAAGATGAGGGCGATCTTCTGGACAGCAGGCCGGAGACCCAACGGTTTGCCCGTGTACTCATCCCACAGCATGTAGCCTATGTAGGGCAGTGCGACTGTATCGACGGCGATGGCGACTATGCTTTGCGCGCGTTCCGGGCTGGTGTTGCTCTTGGCATCCTCATGTCGGTAAATGCGCGCCGCGATAGCCAGCGCCACGATGGAAGTGAGCATGACGGTAAGGCGGAAAACCAGGGGTACCAGGTAGTGTCGCAAGATGAGAGACCACATCCTCTGCACCATAGTCTTGGAGCGTCTTTGCTTCGACGACGCCTTTTCCAAATCTCGATGAACGGTTTCGTCGTATCGCTTATTGAAATCGGGCTGCAACTTATCCAGCACTTCGACGTCTACAACTTCCGACTCTTCGCCTTCCATATGCCCGTAGGCCGACGACTGGAGGAAGTCTCTCCATGCTGCCGGCGGGCCTTGGGTTGCGGGCCTGTGTGCTGAGACGATGACGGGTTCTGCGGTTCGCAGGTGATCCCATTTCCTGCCGTGCTGTGCGCCTTTGCCACGGAAGACGTCTGTAAGCTTGGCCTTGGTTCTCGGGCGGGCGTTTACTAGAGTAGGGTCACCGGTCCAGTCGACATAACCGTCTTTCGATACGCGACGGTCGGGTTCGTTGGGGGAGTGGTTATGCTGAGGTGGAACAGCTCGAGCCGGGGGTGATAGTAGCTGGAGCTGGTCCTCTGTCGGTGCTCCGTATCTTGTTTCGTACGAGTCGATCCAGGCTATCAGATAAAGTGGTCAGCAAGGGCTCCCGTTTGTGATCGTGTAGACCGGGTGGGCCGGGAACCAATCTTACGAGGAAGCGATCGTGGTCCTCTTAGCCGCGGGGCGCCTGAATCGATCGCGGTACTGCTTGTGCCAACCGATGCTCGAAAATCCCGCGAGCCAGAACTGCCGGGCGGATGGCTAGATGTGCTCATCGCGGTCGTGGCCGCGGCCGAAGCAGGACCCAGAAGGGGGTGTGGGCTATACCGATGCGGGTGGTGACTGAGAGCGTCGTGGGTTCAATGCTTTCTTGATGGCGCAGGAGAAGGCTCGCATATTAATATGCACTCCGCCTTTCGGTCGAAGCAGCAGGATGTATGTGCTATCGATACTATGGCGCCTGGTGATTTGGTGTTGTGCACGTATGTGTGGTCGAAGTCGGCACACAGGTAAGAGGGTTGAAGGGGCGACGGCGAAGGAGCGAGAGAAGGCAAAGAAAGCTGAATTATGGTCTGAAAAGCAAGAAGGAACTGCAGAAGCGAGACGAGGAGGTAAAAGAAAACGTGAAGTAAGGGCCAGAATGGAGGGCGCGTGACGGGAGATAGACAGCAACCGTTGCGTGTGCCTTGTGTCCTCTCAACGGCGGCGGAGGCGGCGGCTGTGTATGGGTGTGTGTCTCGTGGATAGACTGAGCTAGCGCTGCTTGCTGGCGGCCTATTCCTTGGCCCGTCTGTCGATGTCGCTGGCGTTGTCCAGCTGTGCGATGCGACGATTGCCAGCTCCGAGAACACACTGAGAGGAGAGAGCAGACGATACGATGCGGCACTCCAATTGTCCCGCTGTCGAGTCTGTGACGGCACCTTTCGCCCGGGCGTTCCAGCAAACCGGGAAACTTTGCAGAAAGACTGCAGCACCTGTCGCAGCGCAACACGGACAGGCAGTTGGCAAGAAGACTAAATGGAGGGAGGGCTGGGGAACGGGAGGGAGGGAAAGAGGATATCCAATGGAGCGTGCCTGGGTGACAGGCAGAATGCGGTAGCGCACTGGAGCAACGCGTGGGCCCCTTGACGGATACACACACTATGTACTACATAGATGTCGGGCTGCTACGAGGGATGGATGGTACGTACTCCACCCTGGTCTTTTGGACTGCAGAACACACTGAATCCGCCGACATTTCGCGGTTCAGCACCTTTCGAATTTTAGCGGGTTTCAACAGCCAATTTGCGCAAGCGCGATCTGGGATCAGCGAAAAAAAAGAAAAAAAAAAGAAAAGAAAAAAAACCACTATTATGTAGACCAGGATAGAGGGGCACACGTCTTGGTGGACCCAAGCCCACGCTTTGGGGCAGTCTTCAAGGCCTATCGCTCTGCGTTCCTTTCACTGTCGCGCAGCCCGACTAGGGGCCCCAACTGGCCTCGATGCAACCACTCTCGAGCTCTAGGGGCATCCCTCCAAGTACCGCCCTAACAATGGATCGCGAATCCAGCGCACCACTTAAAACACAGCAGCGACCTATGACGCCGGCCTGCGTCACTGCCTCCGGCCCAGGTTCAATCCTGGAAGCTTGACCCAGAAGCTAAGATGGACGACAGGGGGTTGGCGTGCTAGCCTCAACCGCTCAGAGGGCCGGGAGGCTCAGAGCTTCCAAACACAGACTCCACGACACACGTCAAAATTGCCTCTTGCTGGAAGACAAGGACCAAGAGGCCGCCCAGCATCGTGACTTTTGCAGCTTTTCGCCTCCTCGCCCAATCCCATACAAAAACCGATGTGCAAGTCCTGCGAGGTTGAACTATTCTGATTCCAAGCCAAGCGCACACTCCCCCGTCCTCCTGTCGCAAACTCCCGCGGGGCCCAACATCGCACCTCCTCGACCGACCGCCGCCGACGACAACGACCGCGCCTCTCTTTCATCCCTCGCGTCATCACTCGGCCCGAGCCTCGGTGTGCACCATGCGCCTCTATCTACTCCCGCTCACCACGAGCCGGACTCTGCTCTACTCGCAACGACTCAATATTGCGACGAACAGCCAGCAAGGCTTGGCGGACAAGGTTGGCAAGAAGGCCGCAAAACTGTGGGCCGGCTGGGAGGCCAGAGAAAGCGGCTGGCAGAAGAAGGTGGTCAGCTACGGCAACTATGCCCTCCGTCGGATCCCCTACGAAGAATGGGGCCTGAAGTCGGTCCCGCCCATTTCGGCGCGCCGCAAGGACGACGAGCTCAAGGGCAACGAGAAGATTGAGCTGGTCTTCCCGGACAAGGTTATCCCCACGGGAAAGGCAGAGCAGGTTGTCAGAACCTTGGCGACGGAACGGGACGCGCTGCATAAGAGGAAGCTCATATGGTGCTTGATTGGCATGCCCATCTCGGCGCCCTTTGCTCTTGTGCCAGTGTGAGTGATGTGCCACTTTGCATTGGAATAAACTTTTGCTGACATTATGATCCGGCAGGATCCCTAACCTGCCTTTCTTCTACCTGGCATACAGAGCTTGGTCGCATTGGCGCGCTCTCGAGGGAGGCAAGCACCTTCGATTCCTCGTTGACAACAAACTCCTGGCCCTGTCCCCGTCGAAGCTGCTGAACGACATTTATACGCCGTTGATACCAGAAAACACGACCCAAACACCGTCAAAACCTGCCCTGGGCCAGAGCGAACCTCTGCAGGGCAAAGGGGAAAACGCAAAGGACGAGACGATCCTGCTGTCGCAAGCCAATGGCCAGCACATCGCCAAAGCGCTCGACGTGCCCGAGTTGGGCGTCGAGATCGAACGGGCCATATGGCAGGTCAACCATGCCAAAGAGGCCAAACAAGAGGAAGCTACGGACAATGCCGCGGACGAGGCCGCCAAGCAAGCCGCGAAGCAAGTCAACGCCGAAATCCCCAAAGACAAAGAAAACCCGGTCCCCCCGCGCGACGACGAGAAAAAGTAGCCCCGGCGAAGCGAGGCTCGTTAGAACCGTTTTAGATGGTGTGTAATATGTGCTCCATAGACGAGAGCTTGGTCGGCATGATTTATGGGCGACGGTCGAGCGCCGCCCCGGATAGACTCATCTCCTATTTCTTTTTGGTTGCTGCCGATAACGCTCTCCCCTCCTGATTAATGAATGGCGAAGTGGTGGTTTTGTTCGAGTATTTTGTAGAGAGTGGAGGATTTGCAGCACGTCTATGGCGTCTCGTTGGCCGGGTAGATGTGGAAGCCATGGGCCCGAAGCACCGGCAGACATCCGCAGATACACATCAATCCAAATGCCAACACAACGCGGCGTGCCGTGTCTTTGGAGAACGGGCTACGCAGCCTGGGAACGAGCGATGACCATTGCCGTAAGCTCTCGTCTGAATCGCCGGCGTCGGCCTCGTCCGTCTCGCAGAAGAAGTCGTACTCCTCGCCGTCGTGCTCCTTCCAGTGCGCGGCGCGGATGTGTACCTGGGGCTGTTGCTTCTCTGCCGGCTTGCTGCTGGGGGTGGTGGTGATGAGCGGGGTGCCCCTCGCCGCGGCGTCTTGACGATCGCACTCGGCGATGATGTCAAGGATCTCCTCGCGGGTGTAGATTGCGCTCTCGCGCGTCAGGGCCTCCGACTTCCAGGCCATGGCGGCCTTGTGACGGAGCAGCCTCTGGGTCGGGCTTACATCCCCTCGGCTCTGCTGGCGCCTCTTCTCCCGCAACCTATGGCACCGCGGCGGCGCGATGGTGTGGACTTTGGGGTTCAGGGGAGAGGGCACGAGGGGGCTGTAGCCGGCCCTGCTCGGTAGCGTCGACAGTTGAAGCATGTTGGGTCAAGAGTGCCGTAACGAACGAAAATGTGCAATTATGAAGATGAGCCGGTTTAGAGAAGTGGATTTCTTCTGGGGTCTTGAACGAAAGGACGGTGCCACTTTCGAGAGGGATGTGGATGGGTTAACTTGCTCCGACCCTCGACATGGTGCGAGGTTAATGGTATCCGGGGGGGGGACTGCTCGGAGGAAAGGGCGGAAACCGAAAAGGGCGCTTTTTGCTGTCTTGTCAACACAAGAAGAGGCGAGGGCAAAACGGGTGTGTGTAGATGGGTAGTATGAAGCGAGAGCGGGAGAGAGGTATGGAGCTGGACCAGTCTGGAATGTCTTTGGAGGGCAACCCCAGATACGAGAGGGATAGACACGGACGTTCCTCCCTGGTGTCAGTCAGAAAGAGACAGAGAGAGAGAGAGAGAGAGAGAGAGAGAGAGAGAGAGAGAGAGAGAGAGAGAGAAAGATCACCCCGTAGCCGTAATGTTGCACACACACTCATACACGTACAGGCACACACGGAGGCAAGATGCTGAGAGAAAACGGTCTCGACGAGGAAGAAAAATAGTGTTGCGAATAGTAAGATTGGGTACGGGTGGACGAGCAAGCAGGCGGCGGGCGTGCATGCAGTTGATATGGGATTCCGCCATGTTGAGCGGCACGCAGGCTCTCTCGCACCCTGTCTTCCGAGGGTCTCCCAGGGTACCTACCACCACCCCTTCTTTTCGCCGTCCGTTTCCCCGATTCCCTCCGTGGGCCGTGGGGTCCCCAAAAGGTGAGAAGTAGCTTGCCTAAAGCGTCCGCTCGGGCACGGGGAGGCCAGCCCAGCGGTCCAATGGCGAGGATAGCTGAGGTAAAAAGTGTGGTGGGCTAAGGGGAGAGAGGTACGGCAACGCAATTCGGTCGCCCAGGCATTGGCCTAGACTCCCACAGGGTGCCGTGCATCTCGTTGTGCTTCCTTTGGGGGCGGCGTTGCTTGTCTCGGAGGAAAAGCGTTGGCATGGAGGGTCTGTCGGTCGTCGTCGGTAATGGGATTCAGTCCAATCCAATCCAATCCATTTCGATCCAGTCCAGTACAGTCCAATTCGATCCGATCCAAGGACGTTGTTGGCACCGGGCCCCGAGCTTCTGCCCTTTATTTTTTATTTTTTGTATGGTTCCGTTCGCGGTGGATGTGCTCATGGATCCACGGGCCGCGCCCGCGCGAGAAAAGGCCCTTTCTGCCTACGCCATATAGACTGGAGCATCAAAACCACCACCACCACCACTTCCACCGCCAACGCCGCAGGGAGTCTGTTGAGGGACTAACTCGGCGAGAGTTTGGGACTTGGGAAAGACTGGTGAGCCGTGTGAGTGGGTGGGTGGTGTGCTTTTCGCCATCGTGTATTGGTCCCCCCTCTCCCCCCACGTCCGTCTTCCCGTCCGCCTCCCACTGGGGAACAGAAGAGAAACACAAGGCAGAATGGGGAGCAGAAAGAAGATGCCCGGTGCGCAGAGCTGGAATCCGTGATAATTTGTCGCCTGTCGCCTCACCATCCCTGCCCGAACCTTCGGGATGGGACGCATTGCATTCCCTTTTCCCCTTCCCACCCTCTCCCGCCCGCGTCCCCCCCTCCTCCATCGTCTGTCGTCTTGTACCTCCACGTCTTCTCCCCCGGAAAAGCCACCGTCTCTCCCCGGGGGAGTCCGCGTCTCTACCTAGTCACTGCCTAGGAAGTTGCCACTCTGCAGAGTCTTCCGGTTCCAACACCCCGGGGAAGGACGGGTTGTGCCTCGCTGCGCCTCACGATTGCTAATTAATGCCAATGTTTTCCCCTTCCTGGCGTGAGCACTGGCGGTTGCTCATTAGACACAATCCTTCGGCTGATTGCCATGTGGAATTTTGCAATGTGGGCAGGGCAATCCAAGGGGAACATGTGGGAGACTGAGACAAGACACCCTGGTTTATTTACTTGAATTTTTTTTTGTTCCTTTTCTCTCCTCCTCGTCGATAATATTTTTATTTGTTTACTGTTAGGCGGATGTCTTATCTGTGTCCGTCCCCCTCCCTTTGCATGTATCTCTGTCTCGCGCGCGCGCACGTCCAGAAACATGAGATTGCTGGATTGCCCATCTGACCAAACCCGACTCATCCCTGTCATGTCCGGGGGCGAAGGATTTCAGCTAGGGAATGAATCAAAAGCCTAGGAGAGGCCCTCGAGGTAGGTAGGGGAGAAGCCCTTGAGAGTCTGGGGACGTAGAGAGCCAAGAGGGAGATCATGATTGTGGAGTTCCGTCACGGTACAGGATATATGCACAGCACACGTAGTTCATGTTGAGCCTCAAGGGTTTGTTTTGGGGGGGGGGGGGGGGGGGGGGGGGGGGGGGGGGGGGGGGGGGGGGGGGGGGGGGGGGGGGTTAGAGACCCTCAACCGCAGCCGACAAGGCCGTATCAACCCCGCGCGTGCGATAAGAGGAGGCGGGAACGTCTGGGGCAACGGGAAGCACTGAGCAGTGGAGATTGGCCTTTGATTCTCCAGCATCCACTCGAGGCGGGCATCCTTGTCTTCCCCTCCCCCGGACGCGTTCCTATCTAATCGCCCGCTCTCCACGTCCCTCGTATCCGTTGGATGCCGCCTTGACACTGAGCCGATGCTGCAGTCCGGGCCTGCAGTCGCGGCCGCAAGAGTTGCGGTACAATCTTTTCGAGAATACGCATGGTAGGTTCTCTACTCGTCCCTGGTTCGCGAGAGTGTGACGGGCGCAGCCAGAAGTCAAAGCCGTCGGGATGCGCCAACCGCAGCCTGCCTGCGCCGCTGAGGCATCTGCATCTCGGCACTATCGCAGGTCTAGGCCCTGTGTTGTAAGTGGTTCACAGTGACGACTTTCCATCGCCTCTCCCGTCATATACTTCCTGTCCTTCTGCATTGACAGTTTCCGTCTTTGCTGGCCTGATTGGTTCTTGTGTTGTCTCTCGTCTCTCGTCTCTTGTCGAGCCTCGGCGCCGGAGCGGGGCGGTTAGACGGGGAAGGTACCCGGCGATAGGGGCGCTGATAGAGAGAACCGAGGCTAGGGAATCTTGCCCTACCTCTTTATCAACATCGGTCCCCGCCGTGTTCTTGGTACAGGAGCATGCGGGGACCCGTCAAGGCTGATACAGTCGGTTTGCGTGTGCTCAGAGTTGCTGGGTTGTGTACATGCCACCTCCCTTATCATGACATCAGGTTGGGTGCTTTGTGGCTTGACATCTTCAAACAAGTCCACATGTCAACTAGATGTTGTTCGTTCTCGGGCAGAAAAGGGCACCGAAAAGAAGCCTTCAAAAAGCGAGAGATTCCCCGTGGGTTTGAGAAGCAGCGTCGGCAGTTCCCCACGACCCACCACATAGAGATGGATAACACGCGGCAGATCATGGTTGTCATCAACGGCGTCAAGCCTCTATTTTTCGGTCGCAAAAAGAAAGAAAAGACTTTTGAGTATCCCATACTCCAGGGGGTTGCCCTCGAGCAGCGTCCTATGTACTCCATCGCAAAGAGTCCCCGTCCCTCAAAATCTTCATCAAGTTTTTTTTGTGGTTATCGCCGGTGATCATAACCACCAGTTCCACCTCCCGTCAGACCCCTTTTCTGCTCTCCTGTATTAAGGTCATCTTCCCTCTTGAACCCAAGTCCAAGAGGAGCCGCAACGCCTGTCCCTCTAACAGCCGAACCCTCATAGTCCTGGTCTCCGTAGGATCCAAGACGCAACATAGACGTAACTGCCTATGGGGAGAAAATAAAAAAAACCAGGATAACACGCAGCATTATAGGTATAAGCGTGGTGAGGTCTGCAAAGCTTGCCCAGTCCTTTTTTGTGTTTTCATGGGAGAAAGTCGATGAAATGTGCGAATGCTCGGTCCAGAGGATGGAAAGAGAAAAACAAAACGGTCGGGTTTGGTGATACACTGGCCCTGGGGCAGTCGTTGCTCCTCGGGTCATGAGCGCATGGGCAGCCGGTACCCAGGCCGCCAAAGTAGTGTTGCAAATCGCGTAGATCGTCGACACATCATGTAGTAGACTGGGGCGTCGAGCCTTCGGATTCGCCAACCATCTCTGTAACCTTGAGCTTCTTTGCTGCGCGACCAGAGTCCGACATGTCGAGGGCCTCCTTAAGCTCCAGCTCCAGCTCGTCAAGACGACGCTTGAGGTTGTTTTCTCTGCGGTGGCTTTCCTCCAGCTGCTTCTTGCTGGTCTCAAGCTGCATGCGCAGCTGGGCCTCGGCCTTACCGCTGATTTCCTGTCCACGTCTTGCGCTTGCCTCGTCTTGCTCCATCTGGCTCAGCCGGCCGCGGAAGAGTTCGTTGATCAACTCCAGTTCGCTGACGCGGGTCTTGAGGGCCGAGTTGGTCGCGATAAGCTGTTCGTGGGTCTGAGGAACGTCGAGATGGCGGTCGCCGTTAAGGGGCGAGCCAGAGCGGTTCTCAGAAAACCCTTGCAGACCTGCCTGGAGCTGCGCATCGTCCATTCCCTGGAAAACGGGAAGGCTAGGGTTGTACAGAGAAGGGGTTCCGGTCCGAGAGACAGGGGAGTCGCCGTCTACATTGCCGTTTGTGGACTTCTGTGAGGGTCTTCGTTGCGCGGAGCCGGGGTTCTGCCCGTGAAGGTCAAGGCCATTGGGGTCGGTCGCACCGTTGAAGTTGTGGCCATGCTGTTGCTGCTGTCGTTGCCGCATATCATGTTAGCCATCTGAAGAGTGCCGTCGAGGTCGAGGGTTGGAGGCGCATTACGAACCTTCTTCTTTGAGGCCATGCCGGGGCGCATCGTCTTGACGCGATTCCGAGACTTGATAACATCGGTCTTGAGCGAGATCGGTCTAGGTCGCCCGTGAAGACGGAGGAACAGGCCGCATGCGTTGCAGAGAACCGTCCCGTATTCATCGCGACGCCATAACGGCGTAGTTGAGGTTTGGCAGTTTTGGCATGTTGGCTGTGTTGAGTCGCGATCGTTAGCGCCGCTGGCCATCATGGTGGTATTTCCCCGAAACAAGAGTTCCGGAACCGTTCGAAAAGAGAGAAATAGCAGGACAGCCCCTCTGTGAGTCCGCGCAGCTATCCAACAGCACAGAAAACGCAAGAAAATAATGCTGGCGGCTTTTCGCGGATGCTGCTGGTGATGCGGGATTGATGAGGGAAGCAAGAAATATTCTGATAACCACCAGCAGAGTGCAATCTTATCTTTTCGCCCCGCTTTTCCCCACCGGTGACAGGGTTGGAGATAACAGAAGCCAAACTAGCCACTGATACGCTCATGCGATAACGGGAAATACAACTTGTCATGTGCGCTTGGGGTGTGCTCTTGGGCGTTTGCGGGATTGGCTCGCCAGGGAAACGATAGGGAAGCAGACGACATACCGTGGTGGAACCTCCGCCAGAGGCGTAGGTCGGCGTCGGCGCGGGAGCAGGCGCTGGTGCAGGCGCGGACGCGGGCGCGGGCGCGTGTGTCGGTGTGGATGCAGCGGGAGCGGTCGCGGGAATCGCTTCTCTGTGGATCATATGTTAGTCCTTATCCCTCCACTCTTTCGTAATAACAAAGCAGCGCGGAATTGGCGCGCTATCATCCAGACTCTGCAACAACGTTGGTAAGAGTTGCGCATGCTGCGCAAGCGCTTCCATCAAGGTCGCGACGTGGCAACCGGTAGGGCGGGCGACGAAAAGCACAGCGGTTTTGAGCATCAGATACAACAAGGCGTCTCTCACGCTTTTCGCACTTTGGTCGTATTCACTCTAACGACCACCCTTCTCCCCCCCCCCTCGCTTGTACTCCGTGAGGAGCGAAACAGGAAGGAATAGGGGGTGGCCAAGAGGAAATGAGAACACAGTGACCAGAGCTTGCCTCATAAATCCTCCATCCATGTATCAACGTACCGCATCTGAGGCGAACTTGTCGCGGAATTGGCCTGGGCAAGCGCCGAGATGCCCGGCAGCTGGGGCAAAGACGCTGATGCCGATTCCGAAGTCGAGGTCGAACTGGGTCGGGAGATGGGCTCGATGTTGGTCTGCGGCAACGCGAGGTTGGCGAGGGCGGTGGCTTCCTCCATGACCGATCGGAAGGAGGGTAAGTCGTGGTCTGCGAGTCTGTCCAAAGCCGAAGCAGGCGCAGGATCTTGGATGGCGGCCAGGATGGCGGTTGCGGCGGTCTCGTCGCGGGGGATGGTCGGGCTTTCGTGCCAGGGTAAGTAAGCTGTCAAGGTGCGGCCCTTGCAATGTTTTGGTTTTGGTGGACAGTCGCGTAGAGTCCAAGTTTTTCGCCGCAAGGAAATTTTCACGTGCTGGCTCGAGGGTATCGTCCGGTTTTGACGTTTGGACTAATGCGCCAGAGTCGAGGTTGCGGGAGACAAAGTGGGCAGCCGGGGGATGCCGTGGGTGGATGGACGAGGGAGGATGGGTGAGGAAGAAAAAAAAATTGTTGCGGCAAGGCACGGCAGAGGGAGCGACCAGGTAAAGGAAGGTGTCGACTTAATCGCAAGGCAGATACAATCCCTCCAATTTCAACAAAGCTGCGGGGAGGCAATAGTCCAAAGTCTGATGTGAAGTTACAATGAGGTCTTAGACATTACGACGAGTAGTCTTTTGGAAAGGGTGAAAGGGGAACGGATGGATGATTTCGATCCCGCATCCCCCTAATCGTTGACAATTTACTACGCGATAACTGGCGATTTGGTCTGACCTATCAAGTGCCACTTTTTAGTGGTCGTCCTGGGGGGCTTGCGCTGGAACTCATGGCTGAAGGTGGGTTGTGATTGGACCGCCTACCAAAGTCAGCCTTATGGCACGAGCTGCTCGCGCTGGGTCGACGAACTCAAAAGAGTTTTCGCATTTCGCAATGTATCTTGATAAGGGAGGTGTGTCAGTTGCCCCTGTATCCGTCCAGATGCTTTGCAAGTGGCAACACTTACCTGGTCCTTTCCGCCTCGTAGTGTCGTGGCACTCGCCGTAGCTGGCCGAAAGATTGATCTTTTTTTTTATGTGCTCATGTCCTTTGAAATCTCGACGCCGCAAATCTCAGTGCGAGCTGTCAAGGCAAGCTATTCGACAATGAGATTACTCAGAAATCTCACATCCAAAGCCCACAGTCCACATAGTTGTGAGGATGCAGAAGGGGCACCAGCCAAAAAGGCATGATCCCCAGCCAAGGGTCTTCTCCGCCACTTGACATTGCTGAACTGTGGCTTATACGTTAAGGCGATGCGGCTGCAGTGATGCCATGAGAATCAACACTTGGTCAAATCTATGTTTCCAGTCTACAGTTCCGGCCGCCCTAGTATACCCCGTATTTTCCATCGCCCGGGTTCCTCCTCATAGTCCCCACGTTCTGTCGAACCGGGAAGACGACTGATTGACGACTTCCGAGGACAACCTGAGAGAAACAGAGTGAACTGGGGCATCGTGTCGGGTCGGAGCGCCATGGTCGGTGGAAGCCCCACCCGTATCGATAAGCTCCGAAAAAAAGATTCGACGACCAGCGCCACTACCTACACCACCAGCCGTCCTGCACTTCTTTTTCCTGGTAAACAGAGACGGCAGCGAAACCTGTGTCTTTTCAACAATCGACAACCGCCAAGATGCCCTCCACATACAAAAAGGACAAGCCGTGGGATACGGACGACATCGACAAGTGGAAGATTGACACCTTCACCCCCGCCGACAACGCCGGCGGCACCTTCGCCGAAGAATCGTCCTTTGCAATCGTCTTCCCCAAGTACCGCGAAGTCTACCTCAAGGAGGCATGGCCTCTCGTCACAAAGGCCCTCGAGAAGACGGGCATTGCCTGCTCCCTCGACTTAATTGAAGGTTCCATGACTGTCAAGACGACAAGGTGAGTCTCTTCAGATCCCCTCCCCGCCCGTCTCACGCCGGGCCTTGTACACCAAGAATCTAACACCCAATGTTACAGAAAAACATATGACCCCGCCGCCATCCTCAACGCCCGTGACCTCATCAAGCTCCTCGCCCGAAGCGTCCCCGCGCCCCAGGCGCTCAAGATCCTCGAAGACGGCGTCGCCTGCGACATCATCAAGATCCGCAACCTGGTGCGCAACAAGGAGCGCTACGTCAAGCGCCGCCAGCGCATCCTTGGCCCCAACGGCTCGACCCTCAAGGCCCTCGAGCTGCTCACCCAGACCTACATCCTCGTGCAGGGCAGCACCGTCTCCGTCATGGGGCCCTTCAAGGGCCTCAAGGAGGTGCGCCGCGTTGTCGAGGACTGCATGGCCAACATCCACCCCATCTACCACATCAAGGAGCTCATGATCAAGCGCGAGCTCGCAAAGGACCCGGAGCTCGCCAACGAGAGCTGGGACCGCTTCCTGCCCAACTTCAAGAAGAGGACGCTCAGCAGCAGACGCGTGCCTCTCAAGGTCACCGACAAGAGCAAGAAGGTCTACACCCCCTTCCCGCCCGCCCCCGAGAAGAGCAAGGTCGACAAGCAGATCGAGACGGGCGAGTACTTTTTGGGCAAGGAGGCCAAGGCCAAGGCCGCCCAGGCCGAGCGCATGGAGCAGCAGAAGCAGAAGAAGGAGGAGAGGCTGCGCGAGAGGGAAAAGGAGTTCATCCCGCCCGAAGAGCTGGGCCACAAGAAAAAGAAGAGAAAGAAGAGCGGCGACGACGAGTGAGGGGCACGGGCCGTAGCAGCAGTACGAGACGACGGCGGCGTGGAGGAAAGCGTGTGCGTGTTGTAGACTTGAGTAGATGCCTGTCGCATCGTGCAGAAACGGGGTCGCCGCGTACGTAGGTGAGGTGTTAGCTCACCCAAGATACCCTTCCATTCATAAAGAGTTCAAGAGCCTTCTCACATGTACAGTGGCGATCTACTGAACCTGCGCCGCCTCGGGGACTGTATATCAAAAAGCGAAATGTCACAGTAATGGGAAAGCACCGGCGTGTAATGCATTTGATTTGAGAGACTAGTTTTGACTAGGCTAGGTAAACCAGACTGGTTCCTTCAGCTTCTGTTCATCCTGTGTATGTTCCTTCGATTATTCCCTTCTCGGTAGCCGATCCGAAATTAGTAGGCTGCTGCGACCGGGAAAAGTGTTTGGTCGATCTCTCGGTTGGCATAAGACAACATTCCTATAGAAGCGGTCTTGACAGCAGATCGTTCGCCTAAGTGGCCGAGCAGTCGAAGTAGCGACGGTAGTAGTAGCTGGGCGGATGCTGGGTGGCCTCCTTGCCGCGGGGGTAGTAGATCTCCCACCCGGGGGCATAGCTGTTGTAGTAGTGGCCAGCATACGCCATGTGAGGCCATCGCTGCGGGTGCATCCAGAACAGCGTGACGTACTTGAGCTTGGAGCAGATCTCCTGCCAGTCGTACCAGGCAGCCAGGACGTTCTCGCCGATCCACTCGCAGGTGTTGTCGAAGACCCAGCCGCGGCTGGGCTGGTCGCGGAAGCCAGGCCACCAGGCGTTGCACCAGAGGCCCAGCATGCACTCGCCGGGGTTCTTGCTCGGGGTACACCAGTCGGTCGGGTCAGGCGGGTCCCAGTCTTCGTCCCAGTTCTTGCCACACTCGGCGAAGGAGCTGCCAGTCAAAGATGAGACGTTCCTGTGGTAGTTGCTATTGATGCCGGCGCTCTCAATGAGCTCACCTAGAGGTGAGATTGGTAAGGAGTTAATATCTTTGAGCAAGCACTCTAGAAATGCAAAGGCGGGGAGCCAGACAACAAGATCGAAAGGAAGGTACGGTTGGTACTTGGAAGACCCGTTATGTGGGTGTAATCACTTGATTTCACTTGGAAACGAGTTTACAGGTCTGCCAGGAAAGAACCGGATCATTTGAAGGGCGGCGGTGAAGACTGTAAAAGGAAATCCGTGAACAACAAAGAGATTTATTATCCCTGCAACCCCGCAACAGAACATATATGTGTTTGCTTCTTGATTATCTAGAAGCGGTTACACATCTTGTTCATGCTAGGGAAGCCCAAGTCAGGGTTTAAGGGGGGCGCCCAGCAAACATAGATAGCAGCAAGATGCAGTGTATTGCTGTTGGTACTAAGAGAATATTTGTTTAGCTTGGTAGAAAGAAGAGATGGTGGTAGAACCAGCTACTCGATCTCTCTCCTGAATGATGAGTGCATAGACATACTCGGCTCCAATACAACCCTCAAACAACCCACGTGAACCTTTCTGGTCTTTGGATACACCTCAGTCAGCCCGGGCGTTTCTCTTTTCCAGAAAGCCCGCATTCCATCTTGTCAACCGGACGTTACTTGCAGGCGTTCTTTATTCGCGTTAAACACGTTACACGGTCTATGGCACTTGAGCCGAGCCATTGGCTGTACATTGCACAAAGGCCCGCTTCTCACAGCTTGGGAGAAGCCGGACTATCCTCAAACTCAATGACGAGTTTGCCAAACTGCTTCCCAGCCTCCATATCCTTGAAAAGCCCGTCAATGCCCTCCAGATTCGTCAGCCCCTTGACAGTCCGGCTCACAACTGGCCTGATCTTCTTCTCCCTCACAAAGGCGACCATGTCTCTGAACTCCTCCCGCGACCCCATCGTCGTACCCTTGAGGTCGACGTTCTTGAGCACCGCCTGCATGAGCCAATCCATCTGCGGCGACACTGTCATGCCGTACTGGCTGATGACACCGCCAGGCTTGAGCACCTTGACCGCCTTACCCACAATATCGCCGCCGGCGCCATCGATTACAGCATCGAGGTATGGCCGCGACTTGGGGAGCTGGGCCTGGAGATCCTTCTCCCACCCGTCCTTCTTGTAGTTCACACCCCCGGTGGCGCCTAGCTTCTTGGCCTTCTCGAGCTTGGCCTCGTCGCCGGATGTCACGTAGACATTGCAGCCAAACGCGACTGCAAACTGGAGAACTTGAAGCGCCACGCCGCCGCCGATGCCGGTGACAAGGATGTTTCTACCCTTCTCGGCGTTGCCGCTCTTGGTCACCAACGCGCGCCATCCAGTCAGTCCGACTAACGGAAGGGCCGCACCCTCGGCCGGCGTGAGGTGCTCCGGTGCTAGCTCAACCTCGGCCTCGGGAAGAGCGAGGTAGTCTTGCCCGGTGCCGTCAGGGTAAGTCTTCGTGGCGCCGATGACACTGAACTTGCGGATGTCTTCGGGTCCGTCGGGGCTAGAGGCCCAGCCGCGACTTGGTGTGATGAGGACGGGCTTGTTCAGGAGGTCCTTGTTCGCATCTTTGCCGACCTCGACTACAACGCCGTAACCGTCTGCGAGCAACGGGTGGTCGAATGAGATGCCTGGGTAGAGGTGATGTCGGATGAAGAGGTCGCGGTGATTGAGTGCCGCAGCGGTCAACCGGACGAGGACGTCTTTCGGCCCCGGAGATGGCTTGGGAACTTCATTGAGTTGCAGGCTGGGAATTATGAGTCTTTGTAGTCTTGTTTGTAGTAATCTGGGGTGGACTCACGGATAGTAGACCTTGCCGGGTTTCCCCTCGATCTGCTTAACGGTGATGGAGTGAGGCATTGTTAAGTGCTCATATATCTGCTATCTCGCGGACGGCATGTGAGTAAAATTATCGATAATCGGTATTAACGAGGGAACCCACCAGGTTTTATAAAATCAACGACGATTGAAGATTAATAATGTGGAAAGCTATGCCGATGCCGACGGAGGCGGCGTGATGGTGTGGGGAAGGAATTGTCCCCCGGCTTCAGCGTATCCTCCGCATATCCGGAGATCGGCCCCCCGCATTCAATGACGATGGCAGTCGCCTGGAACCTCGGTACTTTCCTAGGTTTGGAGATGCAGCATAGGCCGCAGTGACCTCGCCAAAACACCAACGCTATCATCACTTTAGCCCCTTTCTAACCTGGCGACAGCAGCGTAGTCATATGGAAATCTGCAATGCAGTCAGAAGTCCACGTCAACATTTGGATTTGCTACAAATCGTATGCCAACAAATACATTTCCACCCCACTAATGGCGACATCCCGTCTCCCAAGGAACCGAACGCAGCTCGGTGCTCATCCTGAGCGGTAACATCATCTCACCAAGTCCCTCCTTGCATCCTGATAGGTATATGCAGCAAACAATCCCCATCCTTTGTCGGACTAGGCATATTGCCAGCCCTTACATTGACCTGCAGCGCCCAATGCATGAGTTTGGGTTCGCCGAGTCCCAAATCCCGCTCCTCGCGCCACTTGACAAAGTCATCCTCCGTCACGTTCTGGGCGAGGTGCTTGTTCTCGGTCTTCTGCAGGGCAACATCCGTCACCGCTACAGGGCCCCGGCCGGCCGGCGGATAGTCGTGTCCAGTCCATATCTTTGTGTCTTGGGGGAGGTTCAGTAGCCGCCGCGTCGATGCGAAGAGGTCTCGAGCGTTGCCTCCGGGGAAGTCGCAGCGCGCGGAGCCAACGTCGTGGTTGAAGAGGGAGTCGCCAGCGAAGACATTTGCTGCGCTAACATCAGCCCTTTTCTGAACTTGACTTCTGTAACCCTCGTGAGTACTCACATCCGATCATGTATCCCATGTGGTCTGGAGTGTGGCCCGGCAGATGGAGAGCTGTGGCCTCAAGCTCTCCAATTGCAAAGACCTCGTCGTCGTCGAGCAACCAGTCAAAAGCGTCGACGTATTCCTCCTTTGCAATACCGTATTTCTCGCCAAACCTTTCTTGAACGACCCCTATGCGACTGCCGATGCAGATACTTGGGGCAGCGCCGTTCTGTGCATCCCGCAGTCGGGACTGAAGGTATCTAGAAGCAGTCAGATGGTCGGCATGAATATGCGTCTCAAGGATGCCGACCACCTTGTAACCCTCCTCTAGGACAACATCAAGAAGGCTGTCGGCCGTCTGAGTCGAGATGGTGCTCTTTGCTGGGTCGAAATCGAGGACAGGGTCGATGATCACAGCAGCTTTGGTGGAGGGATCGGCGACGATATACTGCCACGTACTTGTGGCCTGCTCAAAGATGTCGTGAATGGTGGGTTCTTGCGCCATGTTTGATGCCGTGAATGGTTCAAGGAGCAGATGTCCTCGCAACAAGCCGATACGGTTCATAAAATGACGCTTGTGTCTACTAGTCTACAGGTTTTTTCTTTTCTTTTTCAATCCGGCTCTCTTGAGGCTTATATCTAGCATACCTCAATATCCCACTCGTGCCTCGCCGTTCATTTTGCCATAAGCTGGCAGAAATGAGACTTGCTGGCCATACAGATAGTCACCGAGGAGTCTAGCAGTATTATGCAGCCTCTCCCGAGACGAAGCATCCTGGAGAAAGAGGTATCCACTCCCCGGCGACGACCGTGCACCCCGGCGGTGCACATGTACCCCAACATCGGCGACCGTCTGTTCTTGAGGTCGCCGTCCTCCCCCAGGTCTTCGGGGATCACATCCCAGGGATCCCATGGCCCTCCCGGCGCGGGGCCGCGGTGTTGGTGCAACTTTAATGATCCTTTCCTTGTTCTTTGCTCTGCCAATCTTTGTCGTAGCTGAGGAGGTGGAGGTTCTGAGCTGCCGGCCTTCCAAATAGTTCATGCGCCACCCACGTTGCTTGTACCTTTCAGGCACGTCTTCCTCTCCAGAGTCGTTCAAGTCCACGCGGAAGATGTTGCTTTTCGACATAAACCGTAATTCTTTTAGAGGTGGCCTCAGACACTCGTCACCAATTCCACTAAGCCTTTGGATCAAGTTAGCGCCATGTCGTTGGTGAGCTCAGGAAAGGCGCCATCGCGCCTAAAAGAGGATAAGAGAGCGCCACCGTCCGTCCGGGACTAATGTGCTAAATCGTCCTCGGCGAGTCAAACAAAATCGTCATTAGATTCCGGCTCAGACATGATACAAATGCGGATGAGCTACTACAAACGGAGGATGCGCCTCTGCAGGGGTTTTCGAAAGTCACTTGAGTGTTCGGCCTTTGACTAACTACCTAGATAGATTAATAAACGGGGCTCCGCTGCCGGAACCACATTTCCATCTCGTCAAGTCCCCGACGACTCATACTATATAGTAAGCCTCGGACTTGATTCACTAGACAGCGGAAATTGGTCAGGTCCGGCTTCTTGTATGCCATAATACTGTTGTCTTCAGGAGATCTGACTCGAAGCCGTATAAGTTCATCCCAGACACATGCAGGTTTACGGCTAACTCGGACTCTAACCACGTGTTGCCACCCTCACCAATTTTCGGAAACCCTCTCAAAAAACCCACGCCCAAGTCTGGGGCTACACCCGTTCATCCCAGAAACAGCATAAACGTTCGCACTTGAAGGTTTTGAAGCTCTTCACCAAAACATGGCGACGACCGTCCTATCTGGTGCTGCCTTTGGCAGCGCCCTCGTGGCGGCTGGCGTCTACCAGCCCTCCGTCATCATCGCCCAGCTCAAGCTCGAGAACTGGCACATGGTTCAGGCCTTCCTCGCAGCCGCGGCCAGCAGCACGTACGTCGCCGTTGCTAAACCCCTTCGAAATTCTCATGGCTAACACAGACCCCCAAGCTTTATTGTTTATACCCTGGACAATGTGGGCTACGTCCGCCCCAAGCCCCGTAGCCCCTCTCGTCTGGGCCTCTTCTCTCAGTACGACGGCAACATCCTCGGCGGAGCGCTCCTCGGCGCCGGCATGGCCCTCACGGGCTCCTGCCCGGGCACCGTTCTCGCCCAGATCGCCGTCGGCACCAAGTCGGGGGTCTACGTCCTGGCCGGCGCCGCCCTCGCCGGCATTGCGTGGACGGGTTCCCTGCAGAGGCTCATCACCAGCAACGCCGGCGCCGCGGGGCCCGAGAACCCGAAGCTCACCGTTCACGAGCGCATTGGCGTCAACAGGACCGTGGCGTTCGTCGGATTCGAGGCCCTCTTCGTGGGCGTCGTCTACGCGAGCATGAAGTACACCCCCGCGAGCCCCTATGCCGTCGTCGCACCCACGATCGGCGGTCTCCTGATCGGCCTCGCGCAGCTTGTCTCTCTCCTCACACGCAAGTCGATGCTTGGTGTGTCGACGTCGTACGACGAAATTGGGCGCTATTTCTGGTGGGCTGTCCGTGGCGGCGGGGAGAAGGGGAAGCCTGCATCGTATAGCAACATCCTCTTCTCTGCGAGCTTGGCTGCCGGCGCGTGGGCCGTCGCAAAGATATACCCAGAATTTGCGCTCGGCGCTGGCGAAACGATTGTCTCGCCTTCATTGGCCGCCGTGGGAGGTTTTCTCATTGGGCTGGGCTCCAGGATAGCGGGTGGTTGCACATCCGGACACGGGCTCAGTGGTGCCTCAGTGTTCTCGACGGCCAGCTTCGTCACCGTTGTTTCAATGTTTGGTGCCGGAGCCCTGGTTGCCCCGTATTTCTACTAGTGATATGGGATACCCTTTGTTCAATATCGCATAATGCCGGTGCGCATGGCGTAATCGCAAGACTTCATCAATCTCAGTACCCAAGGGAGACCTGATAACATAGCTTTGTCTTGTAAAACATGGCCTCAGCCATTGATAGATTGATATTTGCTTCTCATGCTACCGAACCTCATATTCCGATGAGGGAGGTCACGTAACGCATAACGATTGGGACGGCCTCTTCAGGGAACGCGGGAGCTGCGGTTGCTCCCTGTCGTTTATGGGATCGTCAGAAATTTATGGCTGCCAACCAAGTGCCTGGTTGTACCAAAGCAGACTTCATTCAAGAGCCGAAGCTACGGGGTCTTGTTTCGAGAACAGCCAATGGGTGTAGAACATAACTTATAGACCGGAGGAAGCACTCACTAATAGTGTAAAAAAGGAAAAACTAGACGACATCTTGGAAATGAATTTGGATATCACGCATGTTTCTCCATTCTTATTCTGTAGTCTGGATACGAGCCAGCAGAGTAAGTTAAGAATGTCCGTTTGCACGAGATTCCTTCAGTACGGCTTACCCTTAGTAGAGGTTCCTACTCGCTAGAACCAGCCTTCCTGGCTGTGACCTCGATCTCAATCTTCATAGCATCCTCCATCAATCCGGCCTGAACCATGGTGGCCGCGGGCCTCACCTCGCCAAAGTACTTTTGCAGCACGGTCCATGTCTTTGGGAAGTCATTGCGGTCGGGGAGGATGTAGCGCACGCGGACAACGTCCTTGATCTGGGCGCCGGCCTCGGCGAGGGCGGCAGCGATGTTCTGCATCGTCTGCTCCGTCTGCTCAACGATATCGGGGGAGATGACGCCAGTCTGGTAGTTGTAACTGTTCCGATAACAATGCTTAGTAGACAGAACCATAAAAGTCGAGGGAACGGAGGGAAGAGCAAAGAGACACCGACCCTGTAGTGCCAGAAACAAATATGAAATCGTCCGAGACTACGGCGCGGGAGTAGCCAATTTGTGCCTCGAAGGCGGAACCTGAGCTGATGTTTCGTCTGGTCATGTTGGCTGAAAGAAGGGGCAAAAAGTATATAGTGATGATGATATGAGCGGATCTGTTATATGTGGTTGGTTGTAGAAAGAGTTGTCATAGACTATGGAAGGAAAGAAGAAGGTGACCAGGCAAGATATAGGAACGAGGTTCTGGGTGGAGTCATTCTAGGTTGACTCACTCGTACTATACCATCTGCGCAGGGCAGTTTTGCGACATGGACAGGGCACCTGAGAGAAGCCAATCAGAAGCTTGATGCTAGACCTCGTAATGCCAATTTGGGGCACCAGGTGTGCCCGGGCATGTAGTAGCGAGGTAGAGACTGGAAATTTGGCTGCATTATGATATGTGTACTCTGTGTGAAAGAGCGATAACCATGGAAGTGAAGATGACACCCGCACGACCCGGCCGTTCTGGACTATTCCAAGAAATGGTTCACACTATGACCTAGGTCGAGTAAGAGGATCAGCACACACCGAGCTCACCGAGCTCGCCCCGGAGTGAGATGCATTTACACCAAACCTCAATGAACCCTGTTTGACCAACTCAACGAAACAATATTTGTACGAGTAACCAATGTGGAGCTGATATGTCTCTTGACTCCAAGCCAGCGCCCGATCGCACATGTTAATAAGAGGACGAGCGGAAACACAAAGACGGTGCTTTGCTCGACATAACCTGAGTTGCACTGCTCCATGTGAAGACTCAGAACACTTTCACTTTGACTTTCAATGGCTGACTGCCCTTGGCCAGATCAGGGTGTCGTTGCCTTGCCAAGTCAGGTAGTATATGCATATAGCACCTGCCCCGGGTGAAGTGTCACCCGCTACACTTGTCGTATGGAGGAAGGCGTGACTGCCTTGGTGGAAGCCAGCCGTACTTCACCTGCTCCTTCTATAACAGCACTTGAAGGCAGAGCAGGTGAGACATAAAGGGTCAACACTTCACCCAAGTTTCCTCCATTACACAACTCAACCTCTTGCACAACAACTCAATACTCTTCCCCCCTCAACGCTCTCCTCGTCAAATCCAAACGGAGCTCACAGAGGAGCTCACCACTAACGAACAAACGCTGAGCAGAGCACCACCCTCAACATGTCCAGCCTTCCACAATCAGAGCTGTCTGCCCCGCCCTCCTCCCCAGGCTATGCCTCAAATGAGGACGATGAGACTCCAAGCCAGACCAAGTCGACGCCCAAACCAAAGTCCAAGTTCCTGCAGTACCCGCCAGAGGTGCCACGTCTGACCCGTCTTGGTCCTTGTATTTTCGGCGCAAACACTGGACCGGTTGCTGATGGTGCCGACCTGACCAAGCTTACTGTTCCCATGCTCAAGGAGCAGCTCGCCATACGAGGGATGCCCGAGAATGGCAAGAAGAAGGACCTGATCGAGCGACTGACGAACTGGAAGACCTACAAGCCCGAGACCGTCGCTGTTAGGGAGGCATCAGACAACCGTCCCTTCGGTCCCATCTCCCAGAAAGTCAGCGCCACAGGCGAGAAGCGCTCCTGGGCCATGTCGGATGAGAAGGGTCACCTCAACGCCGTCAAGAAAGTCATGCAGGAGTCGATGTTTATCATCAAGCAGCATACCAACTACGACGGATCGCCAGGATTAACTTCCAGCGTCCGCGGATCGAGCTCCGACACGTATGAGGTCACGATTAGCAACAAGACCTCCTGCACCTGCTCGAGCATCGTACGTAAGAGCCCAAATATCTATATGCCACAGTTACTGACCTCTGCCAGATCTTCCGACCCCAGAGTAACTGCAAGCACATCATCTGTGAGTACAAACGACACTGTTACATCACCGAGCATCCCCTGACAAGAGGTAGACGTCCTGACGCACGTTCTGCGTGCTCCTGCCGAGCTTCTCCCGCAGAGAACCCTCTTCACCGAAGAGCTCACGAAGCTCCTTGATCGTGCGCCCAAAGTGCGGTTCACCACGGCCGAGGTCAGCACTGACCCCTCTATGTCGGATGGCGTTCCCAAGTCGAAGGACGGCAAGTGTTGCCCGGTCTGCTTCAAGGACATCGACCAAGCGCAGACAGTCTGCTGCAGCAAGTGTGGCAGCCATACGCACTCTTCCTGCTTCAATGCCTATGCGGGGGAGTACAGCGGCTGGGGCGTCAAGTGTGCCGTTTGCCAGGGTGAGTGGTCGCCCGCAGCTGTCTAAGAAGAGTATGATTACGGATGGGACTTTCAAGGAGTGACAGACAAGGCTGAGGGGACAAGGCGGATCTGACTGGCGGGGTGGGAATGGCTATGAGTTTGACAGCACACTCGCTGAACTATGTACTTGCACAGGAGGAAACATGGCTCTTTGTTTCTCGGGGTTTCACCTAGATAATGCAGTTAATGAACACCCATGTCTCGTACTCACCGTGGACCTCGCCCAGGCTCGCCCATTCACGATTCAGACCTGATTCAGAAGGATTCTATACCTATCCTTTGGGAGTATCATACAGCAAGCATGCCGACTCGTCACCCACCCATCCTAGACGAGCGAACAACGAACCTCTTTCTCTCTCTCCTCTCGCTATCAGGAGGGGGGGAATGTCAGGTATCCGTCCTCTTTCTCATTAAACAAACACAAAGGGTTTTTTAAAAAAACAACAATGGAAAACAAAACAAAAGAGTTTCCCCCACGCCTCACACCCCGAGGTTTTTGATATGTCCGTAAAACTCCAGAACGTGGAAAAAAAATGAAAAGGCCATCATCGTTGGGCCACACCGACGAGGCGCTCATAACACGGGGCCAAAGACAGAGTAGTGGTGGTGATGGTGGTTGGTCCCGGAAATGTGGAAACCTTCCCCCCCCCTTCTCCTCCTCCTCATCCGTTCCAATGCGTCAGTCGAGTTCCCATTTGTCCCCCGAAGTGTCCCTTGCCCATGCCCGTCGCTGTCATCTTTGACTGCCAGAAGGGAGGGAAATGGGAGATCCTTCGCCGACTGGTCAGGTGGCTACTTGAGCATGGAGTGAGTGCGGATGCCCTTGGGACCGAGCTCGCTACAAGAACAGGGCTGGTTAGCACAACGGGACTCTCGTCAAAAGGAAAAGGGGCAAAGGCTCACTTGTAGTCGACTCTGCTCAGGCTGGCCTGGCGCTGGGCCTCGAGGCCGGCCATGTCGAGGTTGTGCTGGCAGAAGGCGATGCGCGCGGCGACCTGGGCGCCGAGGAACATGGCCTCCTCGAAGCCGTTCTTGTTCCACTCGCTCAGGTAGGTCGGCAGGGTGGCCAGCTTGATGCTCGTGGGCGTCTGGCTGTGGAAGTGGTGGCCGGAGTGGGTGCCGCTGACGGCGTCGGCGCTTCCCGAGGGGCCGGGCGTGCCCTGGTTCTGGGCCGAGGCCGTCGTGGCGGCTTGCAGGAGGGGGTTGACGCCCGAGGAGCCCGCGTTGGCCGGGAGCTGGTGCGGGACGCCCGTGAAGGAGCCCGTGGGGGTCTGCGCGCCGGTGCCCGTGGGCGTGGCGATGTTGGAGGGCAGCTCCGAGGTGAACATGGTGGCCGTGCTGGGGGAGATGAGGTGGCGGGCCAGGAGGGTCTGGAGGATGTTGTCCTTGAGGCCGCGCAGCCGCGAGCCGTTGCCGACGAAGACGAGGTTGTCCCAGCACGCGGGGCGCATGTACATGTCCTCGATGCCCTGGACGGTGCGGTAGATGGTGGTCACGATGCGGTCGATCTCGCCACGGTCGGCAAAGGTGAAGCGCTCGAGGCCAACCTCGATGTCGCGGCGGACGCGCTTCGCCTGCATCTGGGGGCTCTGGGGCGCGCCGTTGGTGGTAGCGGGAGCGTCGGTGGTGGTGGTAGCAGCGGGCTGAGTGGTCGTCCCGTTGGTCTCCGGGGCCGCGGCGGGGGCTGCGGAGTCTGTGGGTGCTGCGGGGGCCGAGGTCTCTGCAGGCTTGACCTCGCCGTCCGTGGGCGCGGGGGTGGCGTCTTCGGCAGGCTTGGGGCCGTCCGTCATCTCCACATCCTTGGACTCGGTCGCGTTACCGGACTCTTCCTTCTTGGGCTCCTCCGTGGTCTCAGGCTTGGGCTCCTCAGGTTTGGACTCCTCAGGCTTGGATTCCTCAGGCTTGGGCTCCGCAGGCTTGGGCTCCTCGGGCTTGGGGGGCTGCACCTCCTCCACAACGACCTCTTCGAAGTGAAACGTGTTGTGGGTTCGCTTCGAGTTGGGCAGACGCACCTGCCTCGCGGTTTCGGCTTCCTGCGCGGCCTTGGCCTTCCTGCCACCCTTCTGCTTCTCCTTCTCCTTCTTGGCAAGGAACTCACGCGCGTTTCCAGTCGTGACGATGGCGGCGACGTCGAGGACGCCCTCGTCGGCCACCTTCTCCTCGAGCTCTTCCTCGATGCTGCTGGGGAAAGCAGGTCGCGCGGCGGGCTCGGCGACTGCAGCCGCCTCGGGGATAGGGGCGCCTGCGGCCATGCCGGCCGTCTGGGCCGTCGGAAGCTCCATGAGGTCGGAGCTGTTGGGCGAGTAAGGTAGGACCTCGCAGATGTGGCTCTTCTTCAGCTGCTCCGCCATGTCGTACGTGAAGTCCTTGTCCTTGAGCTTCTCGAGCAGCTTGCGCGTGAACATCTCTCCGCCCGAGATGAAACGCTCCGGGTTTGGCGCGCCGAGCTCGCCGTGGTTGACGACGCGGCCCTCGTGTATGCAGGTGACATCGACTTTCTCGTAGCCAATGTCCACCACCGTGAGGGCGGGCCACTTGAGGCCGTACTGGGTAGCGATGCCGCTGTGGATCATGCAGAGGGCGGGCGTTCGGGTCTTCTCGAAAATGTAGCGCGCGAGAGTCTCAATATCGGGGCGGCACCATTGAGGCGACGCCATGAGCATGATCGGGGTGTTGTGGTAAGTGGTGGTGAGCATGCTGTGAACGTGGTCGAGGAAGGCAAGGAAGGCCTCCATGTTGACAATGCGACCGCCTTGGAGCAAAACCATCAATTAGTACACCGAGCATCCAGAAATGCGACCACAATCATTCAATCGTACCTTGAAGCGGGTAGACGGCGCCCTCGGCCGAGTCCGTGTCCTCAACCCACTCGTACTCGTCCTCGTCGAGCCGCGGGCCATCGATAGCGAGCGCGCCGTTGGCATTGGGCTTCTTGCGCTTGAAGGTATGGAAGGGCCGCCACTCGTCCGTCTCGGCGTCCTTGAACATGCGCGTCGGGATGCGGTGGATGGGCGGGGTCAGCTCGCCGCATCCCAGCTGGGCCATGGTCGTCTGGCTGCCGGGACAGATGATGAGGACCTGGTCCTCGCGGAACTTGCCCGTTTGGGTCGACATTTTGCCGGCGCGCGCAGCTTTCTGAGCGCCGCTGGGAGTCTTCTGCAAGTCGATACGCGCGGGAGTGTCTTGGTTCCGTGGAGTCGCGGCGCCGCCTTTTTGGGGAGCTTTCTTGGGTGTTTTCGGGGTCTTCTTGGGCGTAACTGGGGCGGATGGCGGGCGGGATCGCGGTCTGAGTCTGGTCGCGTAAGAATTGGAGTCGCAGCTGCCAGCTGGGGTGGCACTGCCCATGCCAAAGCTGGCCATTCCCAGGGGCTGCCACATGGTCCGTGCCTCCATTCTCGCATAATCCTTTATCCGAGCCTTGCAGTTATTGCAGGCACAAGCCACATTCATGAGGTTGCAGGACTTCATGATGGGAGGTGGTTGTGTGATAGGCGCAAACTTCAAGGTTGAAAGTGGTGATGCTGAAAGGCGAGGTGACAATGGTTTGAAAGAGTTTCAGTCACAGGAGCAATAGTCGAGGTGGAAAAATCAAAGGACCGGAGCAAGCTGCTCAAGTCGCATGCCGTGCGGCTTGTCATCAAGTCAGTCATGCGACGGGATTGCTGTTGAGGCCGTTCGGTAGTGTTCTCAATGATTGATCATTATCTTTAAGCAAGCAATACGTAGATGGCTAGGCTATCGTCGCCAGGTGACCTAAAAGAGTCGCCCCTCTCTTACAAGCTCCGCGGCGTTGTTGCAGCGTATCAACTGCCTCGACCGATGTCCAAGTTTCTATACAATACTGTTGTCCCTTCCCCCAGGAAGTGTCCCCTGATCCCTTGGTACAGTCCGTAACTGCTAATCATATGGTATGGTGCCCCCCTGTGTCTGGCCATTTTGGTCCTGTACATCCGTAAACGCCTTTTGCCTGTCATAAAGTCGGTCGTAATTTGCAATAGCTGTTTGGTATCCTCAACCGAGGACCAATCATGGATGCCGTCAAACGCCTGGAACGCAGCTCGAATGAGAGGAATGGGACGGTAAACTGCGTCCAAATGGTGCCGTGGCGCTTGTGCTACTTGAAAAGAAAGATGGGAAGAAAAAAATAGTGGAAAAAATAGTGGTATCATGCAACGTTGACTGCTTTCGGGGCGGTATGCCTCGACTCAATGCTCGAAATTTCTTTCAGTGGAGTGCCGAGAGGAGTCAGGAAATCTCCTTCATCCGGGAAGGCTCCAGGCGCCAGAGGCGTCGCCCGCTCTAGCTCGTGGGTCGTAGGTGTCTGGGGAGCAGACACATCATCTTCGTGCTGTGTCTTCTCAATCAATGTAGAGTCGGTTCTCTCCAACTTCTCGTCGTCAGACAAAGCTGGCGCCGTCTCCGTAATCGACGGGATCCTGTCTGAGCCGCTTCGAATGGAGGATGAGTCGATGGACTGTCTGGGTGAAGGGGTGAATGAGGATTGAAGGGGGCTATGAAGATGGCTGACGTCCCCGATGTCACTCTTGCTGGCGCGAGAGGACCTCATGGGGCTTCTCGCGGGAAGGGGCGGGGGAATTCTCTTGGGAATGGTCACCAACGCGCCCTTGGCGTGGATGGGGGCAGCCATGACGGCTGTGCGGGCTGCGGGCTGCACGGCGGCAATCTCGAAGATGACGGGCTCTTCCTCTTCGTCATCGTCCTCCTCGTCGTCGTCAACGTCGTTGTCCTCATCGTCAGCGTCGCCGTCTTGCTGCTCGTTCCGGGCCTCTTGGTTGTCGTCTCCGTGCGTGGTGATTACGCTAACATCGTCCTTGGTGTAAACGCTGGAGGCCTTGGTGGCTGCGTCGTCCATGGTGCTCATGCCGGTTCGCAAGTGGTCGTCGCTGTCCGTCATGACGGTTCCCTCAATCGAGTGGCTGCCGCTGATCTGCCTCAGCGGAGTGAAATCAATCTTGGTGTAGTCCACTTCCTCCGGCTCTTCCGGTTCCATCAGAACAGGAAGGCTACTGATGGAGGCACCGTCCTCGCTCTGGTTCTGACTTTGACTCGGCGAGGTGTCTGGCGTGCCCGTCGCGTTTGTTTGTGTCCACGCTTCGGACATTTTGGTGCGACTCGTCTTCGTTGACATGAGACTGCCTCGGTTGCTCTTTGTCGTGAACGTCTCCCCGCTCTGCCGGAATCGTGAAAAGGCCGGGCTTGTGGGAGCCGGATGGAACTCGAACTGGCTACTCGTAGGGCGAAGGCGTGTACCGGCCTCGCGAATCTCCAAACCCGCCATTTCCAAAGCAAGAACGCCAAAGGGGTCCGGATCGTCTGCGAGGGGAATACCGAAGGGAGTTTTCGGCGATGCCGGCGAGCTCCTTGGCGTCTCGATCATTGCGTCTCCGGGTGCCGGCAGCGCTGATAGCTTCTTCAGAATGGCCTGGTCGGCGTCGATCCTTCCCTCGGCTTCCTTGATAACCTCAAATAGCGGGCGTGTCTCCTCCACATGCCTCGACACATTTCCTGCGACAATGTCCATGGCCGTCACGTTGGCGCCATAGAACCTCTCGTTTTCGTTTCCTCGCTCGGTCAGGATACAGCCGTTCAAGTTGACGTTCTGGGTTTGTCCTCTCGCCTTCATGTACGTGAGGACGGTGTTGTCGAGATCCTTCCACTTGTTGTCCGATTCTGTTGATTCCAGTGCCACCAGCGGTCCGGCAGTCAGACCAATATCCTCTCCCAAGGTAACAGTCGGTTTAGTGATTAGTGCTTCAAGAGCGGCGATGTTGTTGATTACCAGGACACAGTCGTAAATGTCAATGCCCATAATAAAGCTTAGTGAAGGGGTGTGCAAGAGAATGCCGGAGGGTGGTGACCAGGTGCCGTCAGCTTTGCGGGCGATGAGAATGCCCGAGCCGCCCGATCCGGTCATCCACAGACCAGATCGCATACAGGTGAAAACGGCGATGCCGGCGGCATTTTGAATTATCCGAGAAGGTATCTTTTTGAAGATTCTTGCAGGTGTTTTAGGTTCGGCGTTGGCGTCGGTGTTGGGCAGGTCATCCAACGGTGCCAGGAAGCCGTCGGCTACACAAGCAAAGTGGTGTTAGTGAGGATGTACGAAACGACACCCAACGGCAACTCAGCAACACCAAGAAAGAGACGAGGGTTGGCTTACAGCAAAACGACTTCAGTATGCGAGCAGAGCGATCGCATTCGGCATCGAGCGTGGCGGGCCAGAAAGCCTCCCGGCCAATACGTGAGGTGGCCGAGGCGAGGGCGGCGGTTGTGAGTGGTGCGGGAGGCTTGCTAGACCAGCGGAAGACCTTTTCGAGGGGGGACCTGATGCCGTTTGCGGTGACGATGCTGCTTCGGCCGTTGCTCGTTGTGCTGGCGTTGCTTCTCCTCCTGGCGTCCCAGGAAGGGAGAAAGCTCGAGACCCGTTGCATGGTTTGGGGAGGTAGAAGCGGGCTATGGGCGTTGGTGGTGATGTCTTGTCCCCGTTCGCGGATGAGGACGAGAGGACGAACGCAGCGACATGCGTCGACGAGTCTGTGGTGCTGCTCATTCACAAACCCCCAGAAACGGCTGCTTTCACTCTAGTATCCCGCCGGTAATTATGGGAAGAAGTTGAAGAATCATGAAAAGAAGAGAAGGCAAAAAATTGGGGGATGAATTGGGCTTTGTTAGACAGGATCAGTCCAGGTCCACTGGTCAACTCAGCCTCCTCCACTTTGCAAAAGAGGCGGGCGAAGCAGCAACTTACAAGGTGCAGACGGTTTGTAGCAGCGGCAGGCTCACGGTTCACCACCCAAAATGCAGCGCAGCGGAACGCAGAGAGAGAGAGGACCTGCGGGAAGGGGGGAGGGGGGTGTAGGGTACAGGCCAAGCGGGGGGTGGGCGTGGGTGTGTGTGATGGTGCGTGTGGGTGTCGATGTGAGTGGCTGCAGGTGGTGTGGGCGTTGGGACTTGGGGGCGTGAGAGGGCGACAAGGGAGAGACGCTCGGGACAGCGAGAGAAAAGGAAGGGCCTTGGAGTGTGCGGTTCCGCGCAGGTGACGTGGGCGACGAGGATGACAGAGGAGAGAAGATCCCTGTCACCCTGGCCATCGACGGCGCCGGACCAGAATTCAGATGGACCAGGGCCCGGTTCAGCAGCACCAGCTTGCCAGCATGAGGACCAGCACCGGGCCACCAGACCAGACCAGACCAGACCAAGACGAGACCCGGTCCAAGACCATCAGGCTTAGTGTAGGCATCTGATGAGTCTTGGCCAGTCGAAGTGCAGGGCCCGAAGCCGGTCAGGATTCCGAAGAGAACGCCAGGTGGAGGCGAGAAGCCAAGCAGATGATGGCCGTGCCGAGTACGCAGTCACGTACGCAGAGCTGCGTATTGAGGCGAGCATCCGTAATGAAGTCGTGTGTGGGTGGCTCAGTCTGGTTGCTCAACGTTGACGCCATGAGTAATAAGGTGAGTCCGACAAGGTCCCAACCAGGTACCAAAAGCCAACGGTGGCCCGTCCTTTGCTTTGTGCTGCAGTTACATACTATGTATTGTAGTACAAAGAGGGAAAAAAGTAGTGAGGTGAGACTAGGTAGGGTCAGGGGACCTTGACGGCAACGGGACGATGACGGGATGCCAAAAGATGAATTGTTGACTCGTCCCAAACTTCTGCCCATTTCGCCGATGGTCGATGAAGTTGGACTTGGAATCGGGCAAGGCGACGTGACATGATGAGGAGAAAACGTCAAGAGAAGCAACTGGAGTCTGACCGTCAGGCGTGGCCCCGTTCAGCGCCTCCCGAGCAAAATCTTTCAGGCTTGCCTTCCAGGTGATCCGAGGTAAGGCACCTAACCTCGGGGGCGGGGCCAAACTCTCAGCTGAGGTACCATAGTACCTACCCACCTACATACCTAGTAGTGTAGTATTTGCAACCTGAACAACCTGACGGGTCTCTCTGTGCAGTCTGGTACCTACCTTCTACTGTACCTACATGGTCGCTTCTGGGTGCTCGTGGCACACGTCGACGTTTGACTCGCTCAAACGCGGGTCCTGCGCTTTGCTGGTGGTGCCATGCACTCTGACCTCACAACCAACCGTAACTGCATCGGGACTGGCCTAGCAGGCTACCCACGACTGACAGCAAAGTGCATGCATACCGATCATGACTAGACCGTCCACGTCTGGCGCCAGTGAGCGCAAGAGATACCTACCTGGTGCGTGAGATGTGTTTTGCTTGCTTACACACAGGCTGCAGCAGCAGCAGCAGCAGCTTAGCTGCTTGAGCCGTCGAGCTTGGGGGAGCGAGACAGCGGCGAGTCGTACAGAAACAAGCGGGCTGCAGCAGCCTGGCACCTTTCGGCAAGCAAAGGCAGCAGAGGCAGCAGACGGGTAGGTAGGTAGGTACTTGGAAATGCTTGGTGATTCTTCCTCTTCCTCTTCCTCTCCCCGTCACAAATGCTGGCTGATGCATGGATATGCAGCAAGGTACGCAGAGGTTACACCAGCAACAGACCAATGCTCACCTCATGTCAGAAACCCAATACCGATATTCCACCTCTGTTTTCTCTGTCTCTGTCTCCATGTCTCTCTCTCCCTCTCTCTGTGACTCTGTTCGATTTGCAGATCGGGATCAGAGAGTGAGATGGAGAGCAGCAAAGACTAGCAAAAGCAAGGGAGAAGACCCGTTCGGATAAAGAGGCCTGAAAAACAAAAGCATGGACCGAAACCTGAAGGGAAAAAACAAAGCAACGTGATTAACCCACCAAGCCAATCTCACCAACGTCCTCGATCGGGACATCCCAAAGACATGCTATGCCTGGCTCGCCTGGGCTCTCTGCGCTTGCGCGCGACCGAGTGTCTTCAATCTATAGCGCCGCTGCCGTTATTGCCGTCCTGATTGGTGAGGCACTCGCTGTCGAAGAGGGCAAAGACTACTCTGTGAGCGCAGGGAGAGAAGCCTCTCCTCGAGGCACATATTGGGATGAGACCATGTTATTTCATTGCGAGCCCGAGCCTGTGTGACTTACTTTCACGACCCCGTCAGACCCCTTTCGACCCTGGTGATCCGTTCTCTCGCTCGTTTACTTTTCTCTGGCCATGCAGTGTACCTTCAATCCAAGACATGGAGACATGGGCGCGCGCAAGACAAGAGAAGGATCAAAAAAGGGTCTGGGCGCAAGTAGACACACGGACGGTGTTGGCGTTGACGATCCCATTCGTCTTGACTCGCCTCGGCATGCAGCCTAATCCATGCATCGGGCGAACCATGTTCACTGCTCGCTGGGCTGCACTGGATGTGTGTGTGTGTGTGTGTGTGTGTGTGTGTGTGTGTGTGTGTGTGTGTGTGTGTGTGTGTATGTAAGTCTGTCGACCTTATGCCCGTTGCGAAGCATTGGCTATGTGAGGGACGGCCGGCATGCGGCAGCTCCATTTTGTCATCTTCAAACACCAGAATGGTTGAGCGGCAGTTCCATCTCCATCTCGCACGCCGGAGGAATCGGGAAACCATCGGGATTCGTGGTCGCACCTACCTGCCCTTTGTCTTGGATATTCTTGACTGGCGTGATGAATCACGGAGACCCGAGGGAAACCAAAGTTGTCGTGGCAGAAGAAACTCCCCCCCCCCAAAAAAAGTAAAAAAGGAAGTTGCCCCATTTTCGCGCATGCCATCGACGGCAGCCACGAAGTGGGGTTCAAGCCCATTCACAGTCTTGTCTAATACCTCTCGTGTGTCTCTCTGTCTCTCTCTCTTTCTCTCTCTCTCGCTCTGTCCTTGCGCCTCGGGGAGGAGAGGGGGAGGGGTTGTCTCTTTTTTGTCTCTCGGGCCACTCAACAAGTGCTTCTCACGTATCAGAATATCTCGACTCTCGACACCTCCTCCAACACTGACAAATGCAAGCAAGGCCTTATTCCAACTTGCAACCACCGTCTCAACCTTGCCTTCGTCTTCGCACCACGGGCCACACACAGTCTGTTCTGTTGCGGTGAATGCAGTGATATCTGCACCCAAGAGTCCCAGGCGAACAATTGTCCGATGAAATGGGTCGGTCCAGCGTCCGGCCCCTCCAGCTCTTCTCCCATCTCACGCAGGTCCCTTCTCCGCTCTCTCCCTTCCTCCAATCGTCATACACTTTCAGACTATCGGTGCGGCGCCAACCAGATACGTCCCATTGCCATCCCACCCATCCATCCATCCATCCACACACGCAATCAGTTGAAGCCCCTCAGTATGATCAGCCTCCAGAGGAGGGGCCCAAGCTGGGCCGTGTCAAGACTGACAGGATTGTCAGGACGTCTCTTTGCATCCCATCCCACCCACCTCACCTCAGCATCGCCGAAACGGACAGCACCATACACGGTGTTGGTACCCTGTGCTGGGAACGACGAAAGGGTGTGGTACTCTACTCGGTGTTCCTGGCTAACGCATCGCCAACACTGTTGAGCCAATATCGATGCACCCAAGCCACCATTTGCTCGTATGTATTTGCCCGCAGCCCGCTCCCGTCTTCTGCTGGCCCTGTCGACTGTGCCAGCAGCACCCCTTCTCGGCCGCATTGGATCAGTTCGTCTCTTTTTGGCCTGCCTTCTCACACGACCCCGCTATCATCCTCGTGTAACCGGGGGCGGGGAAGGCGACTGTCACATCAACCTTGCTTGTCCATCACGCACTCCAGTATCGATCACCTCTGCCTTAGCTTGTGCAAATCCGACGACAGGGAAGTAGACTGCGAACCGAGGAACCCTACAAACAAGGTACCCAAGCCAGCCTAGGCCCAAGCCACCAGGGGAGCCAGAAAAGCAACCATTGCGACAATGAACCACTTCAGCCAAACCGGGAACTGTTTCATTCCATCCAGGCGTCGTCGCCGCTGCCGCCCCCGACCCTCCCGCTTCGCGCTGCAAAGAATACTTGGGATCCTACCCTAGGTGTTTGCAATCGCGCCTCTCCACGCACGCCTGTACCCAAGTCGTTGCTCATCGGCGAGCCAAACGCCCGGCTATCTCACGCCGCAGCACTGGCATCTGACGCTATCACACCAATGTCTCAACCCTCCCTTGGACCCGAAGGGTACAGGCCGCAGTTCTGCATTATCGAAGCGGAAAACTGCATGCATCCATGAGACGCTTTTGCTGCAGTTCGATTCGACGCCGGCCTCTGGCCTTGCCTCTCGTCCACGTCCGCTAGGTCACATACATCGTCCTCGGCGACAGAAGAATGCTGCTCAAACGCTACCTCTCCATCGGCAGCCTGCCTCACATGCCGTTTTGTATGCCGCATGCTTGTTCCACCGACGCAAGACCCAACCAGCATTGATCTTGTTAGGTGCCGTCTGAGGAGCAGGCGTCGTCGTCCGTGCTGTTCATGCGATCAGCCGTTCCTCCTCTCCGCCTTGGTCCCCTTTCAAGCGCGGGGCATAGAGGTAGGGATAGGTAGTTTGGAAGGGCCATGCCACGACAGGCTCAGGACTCACGACGCCGGTCGAGTGACTATTGACCACCATCAGCGACAGCAACAGAAAGAGGAACACCTGCGGCAACAATTTTCTGGGTCTCCCAGAATAAGTCACGGCACCGGCTCCTTGATTGAGCAGCCCCGGTGGTAGCCCGGTGAGTTCGGCAAGGCGCACAAAGTTTGGGTCCATCAGGAAAGGAAGCGCATGGCCAACGCCGACTAAATGCCAACGGCGGGTGATTGATGTGTCAATCAGCACACCACGTTGTCGCCAAGAGGACTCCAATTCCATCGTTCTTTGTGTCTCTTCGTCCTAGACCTGAAAATTCCCACGCCTTGGACTGCTGTCGTTGTCAATGACCTCATCAGGTTTTCTATTGGACAATCAACCTCGTCCCATAACAGAATCACGGGACGGAGCGAACGAAGATACGGACGGTCAACTCATCCCAGCCACCTGGAAAGGTAACTTTTCCCCCGAAATGCAGGCAAGGGAGTCCCACTTGTTGTTGCAGGCTAAGTCTCGTTCGTCGACACCGCGCCAATCAAACTTTACCTACAGGCCATGGGGTTATTCTGCTGCCCTGTAGTGTCTGTCGGCCTAGCAAATCTCCGTGACTTCTTCGACGGCATTCTTGAGCACATACAGAGTATACGTGCATGCGTCTAAGGCGATTCCTGCATCTCAGGCATTCAACCAGTCGCTGGACAGATCCTGAACGAAGGCTTTTGCCACCCACCGGTATACCTCAGCTTCATAAAAGCTGGAAGGGGGCAGCGAAGTATCCGCAACCCTCTCCTAGTCGCCTCAAACAACCGGCGCTGTAAAATTGGAGACTCCACGATATCTCGCGTGCCAAAGAGGAGCATTCTTGAAGGTCCAACAAAAAGAAACACAAAGTTCAAGGCTCATCTCGGGTGTTGCCTCTGCCATATGTGGGAGTCTTGGCCGTCGTTGCTATTTTGGCGAGGCCGCAAACCTATTCGGGCGCTCGGAATAATAGGATGAACCTTGAACGCGGGTCTGGATGGGAAATGAAAATCTCCGCACACGCCAGCGAATCCCGCGATGGATGGAGCGGAGAGGCTACTCCAGAGTTGAGATGCCACTTGGGAAACCAAGCCACATCAGACGACCCGCTCAAGCTCGGTGGACGGGGGTTTCCGTTTGTTTGTTTTTCTTTCTTCGGATGCTTGACTCACTGAAGAATGCTCACAGCCAGGGAAAATGCAAGAAGCCATACCGAAGAAAATGGAGAAGAAATTATCGGGGCCGCTCCTTGGTCTCAGCGCGCTGGTCACCTACCACCTACATGATGGAGATGGTGCGCAATCCGTCCTCCTAGGTATTCATTCAGGGGCAATATTGGCGAGTTGGTCCAAGACGCAGGGTGAACGCCGGGCCCCTTGGGAGTTTCGAGCGCAGATGAGCCGTGTGCCGGATATACAGCTTTTCGGGGCTCCGCCTCGGTGCGGCGCCCTGGACAACGACTGCTGAGCCCTGCCATTGGCAAGACCAGGCCGGACGGACACAGCCGTTGAGTGTGCCTGTGCAATTGGAGGACCACCACCCGGTGAAAGGGGGGCCCGAGTCGGATTGGACGGGTGCCAAGGACGGGTAATAGTAAGTACAAACACGAAGACTTCACCCAATGGCGGGCGGATCCGCAAGTGCCGACCAGACCTCGTGGCAGCAAGAGGACAGCAAAAAAACCTCGAGCAGACACGAGGCTGGGTCCTCTATTAACTGCGGTCACATATAGCTGGTCCAAGCTGTCGAAGCTCTTCTACGTAGGTAGGTACGTCCCCGGCTGGAGCTGCTGGAGTTGCAGAATCCAATAGGAAGCAGGAATTTGGTGGAGAGAGGCGACAAGTGTAGATTGTGTCCGAGCTCGCCGGTGATCGCCACGCGCTCAGATTCATGGTTGCACGGGAACCGGGGCCATCAAGAGCCCTGCACTTTTCCTCCCTTCTCACCCGTCCACTACCTGTGTAGACCTTAGTACCCCTGTCCCGGTCCGCCCAATGGGATGCTGAGGGACGGCAAACTCGTCGACTGCTGGGACGTGAAGGAGAATCTTGCGTTGGTTTCCAGCTCGCTACGGTGCCGCGGTCCAGGGGCCTCGCCTGTACCGGGCGGTGTCAGGAGCCATGAGGTCATCAAACCCCCTACTCTCCTTAATCTCTTCGTAAACAGGTTGTTCCTGGCGACCAGGTGGTTGCAACGGTCTTCGCTGTATTGTTCTACTCCCGTTGTCTCGACGTCAATCAATCAAACAAGAGACTTTTTTTCTTCTTTCTTCTTTTTGCGCTCAGGGAACACCATCAATCGAGAGAAGCAGTTGGGAAATGATTTGCTGATCATAAGAAAAAACCGTCGTCTTTCTAGCGCCGAGAATTGTTCCAGAACAGAGCCCTAAAAGAAAACTAGCATGGACGCCAGCCCAAAGTCTTTTTTTTCCCCCTCACCCCACGCCAATAACGCTCTTGGTCCAGTTGAATATGCCGCGAGCCAATGTCAAATCGCAGTTCGCTCCATAACTTCATGTCCTTCGTGATTGGGTACAACCTTGCTTCTTCGGGTATGCCCGACTACCAAGGTTTCAAAAACGTACGTCGCAGCTTGTAGGGAAAGTCCATTACAACTGCTTCTTAAGCCCGCCAATGGAGCCGATGCCGCCCGCAACGTCTGCCGCCTGCTTGTTGCCCTTGAGCTGGTCTGCGAGATCGTCAGCATGGGGAGATTCGCTTCCACGGGAGTGCCATGTAAGGCTGGGGAGGAAGGCGGGGGAGTGGTTTCGCTCACCATCGACAAAGTCCTGACCGGCCTTCATTCCCTGCGCCTGCCTTTTCTTCTTCTCGGCCTCGGCCTTTGCCTTGAACACCATGATACTGTTTGCGCGACGGGTGTCAGCGTGACGTTGAGACATTCAGTTACAGAAAGTCGTTCTTTTTTGTTACGGGTGATGTTGCGGCAGGACACCGTGAAGGGGGGCGGTTAGGAAGAAGCAAACTCACCCAATCTGCTCGATGACGGGGTCCAGCATGCCCTGCTGGTAGGCAAAGAAGCCCCCGACGAAGACGGCGACGACGATGGCCAGGGAGATGAGGAGGGACTGCGCGGTTGAGTTCTCCATGGTTGAGTTAAGTTGAGTCTGTTGTTTCGGTGACAGGTGCAAGTCTATACGTGAAAGTCGTAAGGCGCGGGGGGGGGGGGGGGGGGGGCGTTTCTCGGTGATGTCTTGTGTATCACGGTTGTAAAGCTCTAGTGTTTCTATCTGTTGCTTTCCAAATGCCCTTATGAGAGTTTCTCCTCGAACGTCTTATATCCCATTTCAACATTGCAAAAAAAAACTTGGCCTGGTATGCAGCATGCTCTCGGTCGCGTGCGACCCCGCGAAGGTGATCGGCAATGACGTCCCCAAGCCTGCTTCTGCGTGGGGGACCACGGGGGGGGGAGGAACATGGGCAGAAAAATCAGGGTCTCGATCAGTCCTCGAACCACTGGGAACCAAGATTCGGGGTCGCAGCACGCGTCAGCGAAGCGTCTCTGGACGGCGATGAGGAAGCAGTCATACATCATTCTTTCTTCAGGCACTCCCCAATGAACTGGCATTACCTGTTTTTTATGCGCGTGCCTCCTGTTCGCCGCCGGGTTCTCTCAGGCGGGTGGGGGGCCTAGCTTGGACCGATTTCCGAGCTGTCGAACCTACAAAACAAGAATAGGGTCTAGTCGCAAGGACTCGCTCCTCGCTGTCGAGGCATAGGTCGTCCTGTGTTGCATGCCGCTCGCATGGCAGGTCGTCAGCAAGATGACTTCAGCGCACGGGAGGGTGTCGAGGTAGGCTCGGCTGGCAAAAGGAGACGGCTGAGAGAAGGATTTGTTTGGGTCAGATCCCTTCTCCCCTTGGCAGCATAAGCCTGCCACTATCCATCTCGTCGCGCACGAGCACGAGGACCAGATTCAACAATGCCCCGGGCCCCCCTTTGGCCGTCGCTCTTCCAGGCTTTGGAAAGCGGCCGGCTTGGTCGAGGTGGGCGCTTATTGCCCGTCTTAAGCCCCGGCAGTTGTGTCTCCCTTGGACGGGGTTTCAGCGGTTCGCATGGACCACACTCTATAAGATGCGTTCTTCCATGGGTGCCGAGCTAGCGGAAATTAACCGGATTGTAAATAGAGGTTAAATGGATTCGAGGTCTGGGGTTGTTGGATTATTTGGGAGGGGAAGTGGCTGGCGAGTATAGGATGCCTGAGCGCGGACTGAATAGGTGAGTATGGCGAGGCTGCAAAAGGGGACGACTCCATTTGACGAGTATCCAGGATATGGATTACGCGCGGTTCTTTGATGATGACCCGACGTCGAGGAGCTCGACTGAGTTCGTTGTTGTCTGGTGTACTGTGGGCGTTTTCGCGGGGTTGCTGGACTGGGTGACATCGTCTTCTCTTAGTTTCCGACCTCGAGCATACTTGGTTGGCATCCGTTCCTGTCGAGGTCTGCGTCATCATTGCCGAGTCGATGACGAAGACGTATATAGAGCGGCGGCTGCCCTCCATCTTGGAACCTGCAGCTCATTCGCTCGCAGCATGACCGATCTGTCACAGGGGTCAAAGGTGACACAACACGCATAGTCTGCCAACATCCCATTCTCTTGGACATCCAGCCTGGCTACGGCAGTCCAAGTCATCTAGGCAGAGAGACGTATGCAGCGTCTCTACGTCTGGTGTTGGATAACGACAGCTCAAAGGACGATGGGGACCACCGGTGCTTACTTTGAGGTGTGAGGACTAACATGAATTTGATGTCCGCCCCATCATCCAACTGTTTCCAGGAGAAGCTGGTTAGCCAGCCGGCGTCGACACGCGTTGGTTTCCTTGTCGAACATGTCGAGACGGCAATCTTACCGGCATAGAAAGCCGAGGGCCGCCGGCGTGATCGGACATTCAACGTCGCACCGAGGACCTAGTGGTCTGATATGCCGTCAGCACCGCCAACGTGTGTATCCCGAAATACATTGTTTATACGCAACTGGGCCTTGCAAGATGACTGCTCTACTCCCAGCGGATAATCTCCTTTGAAACCCCTCGAGCGGGAAAGGGCAGCTATTCCGCGATCTTTGCGGCGGATGTCCGTCCAACAGCGGCCGCCGTGGGCAACGCTGGGAAATCAACCTCGGCTGTGCAAACTTCATTCGTTCTCTGCGTACGCCTTCAGGGGGATCACTCAGTTGGAGTGGTAAATGACTCCGATGTCGGGCAGAGGCAGGTTCACGTTCTCTGACAGCAACCAATCTTCTTCAGTTGCAGCGCCGTTGCATAAGCGCGTGGTTGGCTTTCTTTGGGTCAGGGGTAAAGGGTTATAAGTTGCAAAAGCCTACGAAGTATCGTCGTGCCAGCAGGAACCCCCACCGACGTTGGAAATGCCGGGTTGCAGCATTGAGAGTCAGGAAGGTACTGCTCCCATTTGCTTCCGAAAGTCATCGCTATAAGAACACCACTCGGAACGGAACAGAATCATCGCATAACGGTTGACGCCAAGGTCTGCACCACATCCGGATCGCGTTGTCGACACTTGCATCTTATCCTGAGTACGAGAGGGACAATTAACACGCGAGCCGCGGGGAGTTGGTCAGTAATCCGTAAGGACTATGCTATGGTGTTGATGTTTTCTACTACCGCCGTGAAGAACATTAAGTTCCTCAAGACGAGATCGGAGGGAGACGACAGCGAGTGCCTCTCAAAGCCCAAGAACCACCGCATTGCGAGACGCGCGGAAAAGGAAGCTACGAGAGCATTCCCATGTGAACTTTGTTTTTGGTGAGAGATGCCTAAGTTCAATAAATCGGTTTGGAAAAGCTCTGCTCACGGTCGTGGAAATCCCAGCTCTGGCTCCATCTTTCCTGCCTTCTGCTGGATTCAGAGGGCACAATGGATTATCGTCAACGAGAGACGCAACGAGATTGATGAGTATGGTCTCCGAGGTTCATCTGATTGCTTCATAAATCCATCCCCCATCTAGCATACTCTACATGACCTAAACATGTGACCTCGTTGGTCATCGGAATTCAGCTATCGTGTTTAGCCCCTCGATATCATGGACGGATTCTCCATGCTTCCCAATCGTCTTGTATTCCACCTAACATACGAAGAGCAGGTTTTGGGCGCCTCTCAAGAGTACCTACCAACCTTACTACGTTCGTCTTGATTCATGCCTTGGTGTCAGAACCTGTGCTTGTTCACCTTGTACGCAGTGACAGGAAGATCCCGCTGATGATATCTCCCGGTAACTGTCCCTGCTTAGCCGGCTGTCTCTCTATCTCTCCTCTGTCCTTAACTACAGATCACTGCTTAATCCTTGTTCAACGCGGCGGAGACGACGGATGGTGCCTTACGGTGAAGATGACTTTGGGCGTCATGCTCGAGGAAACGTCGGCTTCCTTTATTGTTTTTCAGACTTGGTCGAGTTTAGGGATCGCAATGACCTCAGGTACATTGACTGGCGCCTTGCTACTGAGGCCGGGGCGTCCATCAACACAGTTTGCAGAGTTGCCCAAGGTGACTGGTCCCCTCCGAGTCTCTGCTGAACATAATCATTCTTGGACTTTGGCCCTACTGGTTGACCCAACTCAAGTTGTTGTGCCCACGAACACAGATGACTGGGAGATTCTGTGTCTTCAGCGGATCGGCCTCGTCAGGGCATGTCAGGTGGCGTATAACGGCAAGGCCGTCGATGTGTACGTTAGACGGGAGCAGATGCGCCGCAGCCTCTCTACTTTTACAGTGAATTAGGCTCAAGGCATGGGATACGCTGCCATATATGCTTCCCGGCGCTTTACAAATACGATAATAACAGGTCTCTGCCACACAAAATTGCTATGCCCATCGTATATACTGTCGATACGTATGCTGGATGCCAAGTGCAGTATGTGGAAGATGATGAGCCAGGAACAATGCTTTTGGTGGAAGTCGGCTTCAACAGATTATGATGACGTTTGGAGGCCTTGCCGAATCAATGGCGGGCTCGTCCAAGGCCCGTTTAAACCACAACTCGGTTCTATTGACACGAAGGATTACGAGCACAGCACCAACGGTGACGGTTGAGCAGAAACAGAGATTATCGACACGTCTCTTGGTCTCGTTTGACTGAGGAAAGGTTGCAGGTCACCGGTGATATCGCAGTGTCTCATCGGCAGTGAGAAACGAAGCCCTTCGAGGATTGGCATCTTCCATGTCTTTTCATGGCATGAGCAGTACCAACATGATGACAAAGACCGGGACCTGTTCACTTCACATTATTCAAGTTATAAGTTCTTCGAGATTGCAACACACGCTGGGACGTGGCTAAGACCTGGCAGCTTGGCCTGGCTCAGTATCTCTCGAATCCACGACACGTGGGTCTCTTGCTATTTGGCATCAAAACCTGAACAAACCAGAAAGTCACTTTAGGTAAATACATAGAAGGACGTAAGATGCAAAGCAAATATGAACACTGGCCTTGCTCACTGATGGGTACGTTGGTTTTGACTCTGTCGGTTTTTGTTACTAGTGCTGCCTTCAATTCGAACCCTTGTGCTAGAGCAGACCCAAGCCCTCAACAATGGCGTGTTCTAAGACAGAAACCCCTCCTCAGCCTCGTCGTCCTTCCAGCCAGTGTGTTTCAACTCGGACACCCATAACATATAGTGGAAACAGACACAGGCTCTAGGCCCCAGGGCCAGTCCTGGCATAAGATATTCTGACTATACTTTTGCCAATAATCTTGCAACTTTAATGGATACGTTGATGGTGGTCGTTTTGACTTAGGCCATGGTCAAAAATCAATGCAGAAACTTTATAATGGGGCTGTTCGTCAAAACGTAGCCAGCAGATTCTTACATTGAAAAGGGTTTTCGACTGGGCCTGTTACAGATGAAAGAGGATACAATAACTGCTGACTCTATGGAATCATTGTGTCTCTGTCGTCCAGTATCAGATTGTACCAGGACTTTCTACTTACTACGCAGCCAGATGATGGCTCTCGGATTTCAGTGGGCACCTCGTTCGACCTGTAGAAACTACAGCCTCGCGAAAGTATTATGTTGTGTTAGTACTTGTCTTAGCGAAGTTACCTATATTATGTAGCAAGACGCTTCCTCGAAGTAC